AGTTGTGAGTTTCTCAGTGTTTCAGCTTCAGTGCAGCTGCGTTACCTGGTGCAGAGCTGGCTGCCACAGGCTCCACACTACAGAAAAGCTTTGGAAGTAGAAAGTGAATCATCTGCTCAGCTCTTGGACAGGTGGGATATGGGATGCCTGACTTACCTTCAGCGAGGTAGACATTACAGTGAGCCAGGCTTGGTTTTTATAAGGGGTTTGGATGAAGAGCTGCTGTGCCGGTACATGCTGAGGTTGCGGCAGGGAGTAGGTGGTGTGATGGGGTGCTGTTATATGCTGATGCTGGTGCATCAGTTCTCTTGAAAAGTGGCTTTGTCTTATGCCAGCAGTCAGCGTGGAGTATATGCAGTGGTGTATAGCAACCCACTTTCTGGTCAGGGTAAGGGTCAGCTTGGCAAAAGGTAGCCTTGGGGTTGTGTAAGTGTTGTGGGCATTTAATATTCTCTCTGCCTGTCTTGTGTTGTGAATGAATGGTAAATAAATAATTGTGCTTTCTCTTGATGAGGTGGTAGAAGCCCTTGTTCTCTAGCTGCAGGATTCTGTATGAGACAAGTTTTGGGCTACTTGAGAAACTCACCTGCAAGTGTGTGTGGCAGAGGGTGCAGTACACCCAAAAAAGCACAGAACTGTGGTGTGTAACGGGAGGCAAAAGCAATCAAGTTTTAGTCATACGATCCTAGAATCTCAGGTTGGAAAGGACATCAAGAATCACCTAGTCCAGTAATTCCAGGCAAAGCATGACCCAGACTCGATGGCCTAGCACCCTGTCCAGCCCAATCTTAACAGTGTCCAACACTGGGGGAGTCACCACTGTTGTGTAGGGATTATTCCAGTGGCTGATTGTTCTCAGTGTGAAAAATTCTCCTCTTATGTCCAACTGAAATCTCCCTGGGAATAACTTGTGCCCATGACTCCATGTCTTTTCTGTGTGACTCTCTGTAAAAAGGGAGTCTCCATCTTCTTTGTGGCTACCCTTTAAATACTGGAACATGGTGATAAGGTCTCCCCACAGCCTTCTTTTCTGTAGGCTGAACAAGCCCGGCTCTCTCAGCCTTTCCTCCCGGTTTCCAAGTCCTTGGGTCATCTCTGTGGCTCTTCTCTGTACCCTCTTCGGCTTGTCCATATCTTTTTTGTATATCAGGGACCAAAACTGGAACACAGCATTCCAGGGGTGCCCTGACAAGTGCTGAGTGGAACAACAACATCTTTATCTCTGCTGGTGATGCCCTTGTTGATGTTACCCAGCATCCTCTTGGCTTTCTTTGCCACAGCTGCCCACTGTTCTCTCCTATTGAGCCTGTGTCCCCTAGGATCCTTTTCTACAGAGCTGCTCCCCAGCCGAACAGATCCTAACTTGTGTTGCACACTTGGATTGTGTTTACCAGGTGCAAGACCTTACCCCTTTCCTGTTGAACTTAGATTTCTTGAATTTGTTATAATCCAAATTATGCTTTCTGTCTGCAGCACTGGATTTCCACTTCGGGACAAGTTGGTGGCCTTAGCATTGTGTTGCATCTCACATGAAATGTGTTCAAAGCTGCGCTGAAATGTTTCCGGAGAAGTGGGGGAGTAACTTCAGTGCAGGGTGCTCTTCCCAATCTGGAACTCATGTGGAGCTGAATTAGTGTAATCCCGGAAATGATAATGTTTTATGCTTGTGTGAATGGAAGGAATGACTTGAGAACCTGAGCAATCCCTTAATATGTGACTTAGTTTGAAATTTAAGAGATTTTGAAAGCCAAACCTGTTTCTTTCAGCCCTTGTGTTTGCTTTTGTTTCCTGCGATCTGTCTCTGAACTTCACTGAGTATCTGTCTTCTGTACCTGAAATGCAAGGTATTGTGTTGCAAGGTTAAGTCCTGATGTCCTCTTGTTTCCAGACTTTGTCTTGGATTTGCAGTCATGCAAAAGGAAAAGAATACTCTTGACTGGGTTCTTCTTCAACATTTCTCCTAAAATCAGAGGGTTTATTTTGCATTAGCTAATCTTTGTTTGCAGAAACTATTTTGAATTGGAATGGTTCCTGCTTTTAACTTTCATGAGCGCTGTTGTAGCGTAAAGCTAATAAAGATTTCGGAATTTAATATGCATCTCCCGAAAAACTAATAAGCAAATATTAGCTTTGGAATGCTTAATGTTTTCTTCTTAATGAATGCTGATGTTTCACAACTGGTGAAGCGAGAAAACGCGAAGTTTTCCTCATTGCAATTAGTAGAAACGGTTCCCAGTGCAGTGCTAATAACCAGAATTGCTATTAGAATGTAAAGCTTGTCAAAGAGCCAGGCACAACATGTTTATGTCATAGAAGATCTAGATGGGATCTGAGGAAGAAGTTCTTCCCTGTGAGGGTGGTGAGGCCCTGGCACAGGTTGCCCAGAGAAGCTGTGGCTGCCCCATCCCTGGCAGTGTTCAAGGCCAGGTTGGATGGGGCTGATAGCGGAATAGACTCCACAACTTTGTTAAAGTTGTAAAGTAGGTATGCTTTATTCAGCTGAAGACGCACGGGGGATTGGTCCTGCAAAAGTCATGCGTGCATCAGTGTTGTTTCCCTCTACATTTATCCTCTAAAGTTACAAGGTTGCACAATACGCCTATACATATTCATGTTCTATCCCCGCTTCGTATTATAATGATCTAGAAAGTCCTCTGCGCCTGCGCAGTGCCCCCTCTGGTCATGGGCAGGGGTCTCAAGATGAAGTAGATGAGTCTTCCTCTTCTTGAACTTGTCACCTTTTAGTCTTCACACATATGGTCTTAGGGTTTGGTCGGTGCCCCAGCCATAAACCATCTGCTTCCCGTATCCAGCCTCTGCTTTTCCTTATCAATAGCTACTTATCATTATAATCAGGTGTCTGCTTATCAGTAGGACCAGGTGTCTGCTTTTGCTTATCAATAGGACTTGGTGTCTTTGTTCTGCTTAGTAAGCACTTACAACAGACAATACCTTGTCTAGGCAAGTAAATTCCTCTAGCAAGCAAATTCCTCTAACCCCCCTGTACAACCCCCCTGTACATTGGTCAACCCTCTGCATCAGGGCTTGGAGCACCCTGGTCTAGTGGAAGTGTCCCTGTCTGTGGCAGGGGGTTGGAACTGAATGGGCTTTAAGGTCCCTTCCAAGCCAAACCATTCTAGGGTTCCATGGTTTTAGGTTCTCTGTATGACTGTAAGAAAAACCCTTCCTATTCCATGTGAATGTGATGTACAGTGCTCTGTCCAGCTTGGCAGCCTTACCCCCTGCATTGCAAGGTGTCCAGACAGCAGGAACACATCTCATCCCTCCCCTCTCCCAAAATCCTGGGATTTTCATGCTGGTGCTGGACTGCAGGCAAACTGAAATTGCCTACGACAAAGAAAGTGATGTTGATTCTTGTGCAAAGATGTAGTGCCTTGCTAAAAGGTATGAGCCAAAATACTTACCCAGGTTTTCCATTAGGTGGTCATTAGGATAAGAGACTGGTGCTTCTGTTGCTAATAACCTGATTATTTCTAGTTGTATTAATGGGGGACAGAAAGGGCGATAGGTATGCCATTGTGAAACAGTCTGTGGGCATTAAATGTAATTGAATCTGGAATTTAAAGCATGGTGGCTGTGCTTAAGAGTTTGTTTGTATGCTCCCACATAGCTGAAAGAATAGGAGAGAATATAAAACAAACCAGCACCTATGATGCCTCCTCCAGCTTCTAAACATTTCAGGCTTACGGAATTCCTAAGCCAGATATGTATAAAACCCCTTCATAGGTTCCTTGTCTGTGTGAACCTCTTGGACCTTCCTCTCTAATGTTGTCTGCATCAAGATGGTGAAGGCGGGTTGTTAAATGTCAGATGCCCACCTGTTTTTCATAGGTCATCTCTGTTTAGGTCTTGTATTCGGTTTTCTGATGCAATCATAAATGGTGACTTCCTGTGGACAAAATGACCTATTTGATATGCTTTGGGTCTCTTATTGTCCCAGTGTTTTTCTGGAGAAGCCAGGAAAAATGTGTTTATTCCCTTGCAGATAAAAATATAAAACCCATGGATAATCGTAGCTTTGAACTGCATGAAAAACTCAGTCTTGCATTGAACCCTTTCACTTCTCAGAACACTGTTGGGAACCAACTTTGCTTTTAGCCTGAGATTTAGAAAGATAAAAAAAGAAGGAAAAAGGTTGAAGGTTAGGTTTCTTCTCCATCTTTTGTAGGAATTTGGGTGGTGGTTTATTGTAATGTATTATCTTAACCTTTTCTTAGGGCTCTTTCTATTGCATTTTTCTCCTTTATAAATCAAATCGCAAGCTGAAGCTGACCACTTCTGACATCTGTGATTCTGTTTGCTCTCGGTGAATGGCTAGACATAAATCTTACAGTCAAGTCAAAGTCTGTCTTGACAGGAAGCATCTGCATTAGTTTATTTTACTGTGTAATGTTCTCTGGCTACTTACATTTCCCTCCCTCATTCCCCATGCAAAAATAACTCTGGGTTGCCTTAGCTGTAAAGCCTGCTCTGGTCTCTTGTAACTGGTGTGTTGCTAATAGTTAAAGCTCTGAAAGCACTTCAGCCTGTGTCCAAAAGCACTTCCCCTAAGACCACGTTGCTGACAGCTAGCCTCAATCCTTCTTTTCTAATTGGCATTTTGGCATCTCCTAGGAGCACTGCTTAATTCTCTTCCTGCTAAGCTCCTTTTCTTCCTTCCTCTCAGACGGTTTGGTTCCTAGCTCTGCTCCTGCGTGTCCTCTCTGACCAGCAGCTGCTCACGGCCGGTGCCCGATGTCTGTTCAGTTGCTGTTCGCTCTCCATTTGTGTTTTTGGCCCTTTCTTCCCTTAGGCAAAACCCAATCATCTGATCAAATTGCCTGTAGGCTCATAACAAATTCTTGATGTGTGGTGTCTGTTTCTCCCTCCTCTTCTGAGCAGGTGTAGTGCTGGGAATCTGCCTAAAGCCAGTTGCTAATGTTTATTTCCCTTTTATTTCTCTGTTTTTCTAATGAGCTTGCTTTCTTCCCTGTTTCCAGCTGGACACAGTGCCTTGGCTGAAGCGTTGCACATGCTGGAATTGCCCAACCCCCTGATGTATCCCGGGATGGCAGCTAGGTGACGACAATTGAGGATGACCCTGACTGAAAAACTGCGTGAGAGGATATCGCGGGCGTTCTACAACCACGGGCTGTTGTGTGCTTCCTACCCCATCCTCATCATCCTCTTTACCGGTCTCTGTATTCTGGCCTGCTGGTAAGTCATGTAAAGGACTTGTTGCCACAGGGGGTTGCTGCTTTGTGGGGTTTTCATAGCAATGCCATGAATGTGCTTGGGTTTCCCTGTCCAGTGAGCTATCCCAGGAGCAATTCCATATTTTTTTACTATTATTTTTTAAACATAATAGATTTTTGTCATCTCTTTCAGTGGATCTAAAGAAAAGACAGGGATGAAGTATCTTCATGTGGTTTAATAAGTAAATAGTAGGAACTAATAGAATAAGTGATGTAAAGCAATAAATAAAGTAAAAGGAGTCCCCAAACACCTGGTGATGAACTCCAAACCCATGAATTAAGAATGGGGAGAAGGAAAGTTGATCTTTCTCTCCATACTTGCCTATTCTGTTCTCCGTTTAGCTGGTACTTGTTTTTTTCAGCCCTTGCCTTTGCACACGTGTTTTGTGTGTTTCTTGTAAGCTCACTGCTCTCCTTACGGACTTGTAATTCGGATATGAGTTGCAACTGAATATAATTTCATTCCCAGAAATGTTACATGGGCCTCCTAATTGTCTCCAATAAGGCGATATTGCTACCGGAGTTGAGAAAACTTTTGTGCTCAGATTTGTGGATAGACACATGAATATACAGGTTCTGTTTTCAGGTTTTTAACTTTGTTTTAACAAAGTATCTTTGTTCAAAATAAACCCCATGTGGTCATCTACTTTGCTTTTATAAAAGCTCACCCTGTATTTGTACAGATACAGGTGTAAATTTTTCTTTGAGCACTTCTGAGGACAGGACAGACTTCATCCCCATCTACTGTTAAAAGGTTATCTGTATATTGAGGCATTTCCACTGAGTACCTGGGGTTTCAACCCAGGTTGTTTCTGGCAGATTACCTACTGGTAATTGTGTATTTGTGGAAGTATTTGAGCATTCTCCAGTAATTGGTTACCTTCAGGCTGCAGAAACTTGTCCAAAACACCATCAGGTGTAAAGTGATTGTATGTAAAGTATGTTTTCTTTAATGAGTTTCAATAACTCATTAGAAAAGCAGATAATGGCCTGAGGAGAGACCAGGTTTCAAAAATACTGGGACAGTTTCTCTCCTGAAAAGGTTGTCAAGCACTGGAACAGGCTGCCCAGGGAAGTGGTGCAGTCACTGGCCCTGGAGGGATTTAAAAGACATGTAGATGTGGCAGGTAGGAGCATTTAGTGGAGGCCTTGGCTGTGCTGGGTTAATGGTTGGACTCTTAAGGGAGCTTTCTGTGGTTCTCTGGCGCCTTTTGAGAGCAGTGTACCTCAGGTCAAAAAACCTGAAGTGTGGTGAAAGTGCTCCCTCTTTAGAAGTGATTTTTGGGGCTGTTTCAGTTCCAGTTCTGAGATGCTTTGTATGAGCTGGTGTTAATTCTGGTTTGAGAAGTGTCTTTACTAACTGGGTCAAAACTTCCAGAGTGCAGTACCTTCTACACTGGAGCATTTCAGTGTGATAAAGCTGAAAACTCTTGACAGGACAGTAGTGTACAGGACACTCCAAGATATTTATTGGAAGTTTGGTTTTGGGTTGAGGTTTTCCAGTCTCTTAGTTTGAGCTTGTGGTCTGACTTCTTCATGGTTGACCTGGATGATGGGGTGGACTGCACCCTCATCAAGTTTGCAGATGATACAGACTTCATATATCATGAACTGGGAAGTGGATACCTGGGTACAGTGGCTGATACACCAGCTGCCTGCAGGGGCAGAGAGGAACTTCATGAAACCTAATGCAAGGAAATGTAGAAGGAAGAATAATCTCTTATTTATATAAGAGGGCTGTGCAGCCTGGAGGTCAGTGCTCTGGAAAGTAGCTTTGCAGGGCATGCCCAGAGGTCCTGGTGCACACCAAGTGGAACACAAGCCAGCTATGTGTCTGGGGGGAAGAGGTGGTCCACAGTGTCCTGGGCTGCATTAGGGAGGTTGCAGAAGGTCAAGAACCTTCCCTTCCACATACCACCAGTAAGGCCCCACCTGGAGTGCTGGGTCCAGTGCTGGGCTTCCTGTTAAAAGGGTGTGGTATTAGGTGAGAAGTCCAGCAGAGGGCCATGAAGATGATGAAGGGGCTGGAGCATCTCTTCTGTGAGGAAGGGCTGAGAGAGCTCTGTTCAGCCTAAAGAAGAGAAAGTGCAGGGAAACTTATCACCATGTATAAATACATGAAGAGAGGGTGTAAAGAGAGTGGATACCCAGTGACAATAGGCACAAGCTGAAACGTAAGATTCTGCTTATGCTGGTTGAGACCAGTGATGATGCGTGTTGCTCAGGGGTCGGTGTTGGGACTGGAACTGTTCAACATCTTTGTGGATGACATGGCCAGTGGAACTGAGCACCCTCAGCAAGTCTGTTGACAATGCTGAGCTGTGTGGTGTGACTGACAAGTGGAAGGGAAGGGATGGGATCCAGAGGGACCTGGACAGGAAGAGGTGGGACAATGCGAACCTCACGGAGTTCTACAAGGCTAAGTGCTAGGTGCTGCACCTGCATCAGGGCAATCCAAAGCACAAACACAGGCTGGTAGACACTGGTTTGAGAACAGCCTTGAGGAGAAGGACTTAGAGGTGTTGGTCCATGAGAAGCAACCCATGCCCCAGCATTGTGCGCTTGCAGCCCAGAAACCAGCCGTGTCCTGAGCTGCATCATCAGCAGTGTGATGGTCTTTAAGGTGCCTTCCAACCCAAACCATTCTGTGACACTATGAAATGCCCACCAGGTGACATAGCTTCAGGATTTCAACCTAGGGAGAGTTAATGTGTTAGCAACAAATTAGTTTTCCATAGTAATTGCTCATATGGTTTTGAAGTTTCCTGCCCCACCCCACAGATAATCAGCAGTCATCAAGATTACTGTTTGTTTCTTCCGTATTCCTGTTATTTCATACCGTTTTTCCTGATTAAAAAAGAAATTATTGTCTTTTCATTGGCCTTGGCACCCTTCCCCCACAAAACCTGTACAGTTTTACTGTATGTGATGACAAGACTTGCTCAGAAGGAACCTGGGGAGCTGTTGCATAGCCACCTCCTGGGGAAGCTTTCTCTTGGCTGGAGTGAGGAACTCACTGACAGCCACAAAGGGTCACATCTGCATTTTTCCCTGCGGTCATATCATGGGGAATCTGAGTAATGGTGTTTGGCACTGATTTACTGCTGGAATTTAATTTGTGCTCTTCAGAAGCATTCCAGTTTCTGAGGACAGATCTTACTGATTCAGCTCAACCATTCACTGCAAAAATGAGTGAGAAGCATGCTAAAATTTGGAGAAAGAAGAAGGCAAAATATCTAGGCCCAGCTTCAGTGTGGAAGCTCATTTAGGCAATGCTTCCTTCCAACAGGATTGGTTAGAGACCTTCAGCACCGTTTGCATAGTAGTGCTGATTAGTCTGAAACAAGAGTGGAGCAATTAAGTAGTAGGAACTACAGGTCTTTATAACAAGAAGACACACAAGTAATCCAGTGGCTCAACAGAGAAGGAGCTAATGATATCACAGTACTGCTGAGGAGCTTAGTCCCTGTCCTGGAAGAAGAGAACGGACAAAAGGAGAAGGTAATAGAGCAAAAAGGAAGCATTCTGTATTTTGCATCCTTAAGCATGGCTAATAAAGACATTGTATTGTTCAAGTGAGCAGTAGATCTTTCATCCTGACTTCTTCAGAGGGAGAGGTCAAACAGTCATCGCCTCCTGCACCTGCATGCATCCAGCATCAAGCAGAGCTTGTAAAATTCTGCTGCAGAAGATATTAACTCAGTTGTTTTCATTTTCCTCACCTCCACCTCAGTAAAAGTGTGAGGTGTCTGTGTTCAGATAACTTTTTAAGAGTTGAAATAAACCACGTGGGCCATGATTTGTCCAGCATCAGTCCTAGGTCTGAGTCAATGTGACAACAATCAACATGCAGGTGCTTCTTCTGTTCTGAAAGGTCAGGTGTGAAGGATCAGGTAGCACACTCACAACATGCTGTCTGCTACAGGTTATGTGAATGCATTCTCTTCAACCTTGGAAGTATTTTGTGTAGACTCTGTTTTTAATGTCACCAATAGACAGGACATTGCATATCTGTTAATTAATATTCAAAGCAAAAATTCCTATGACTCATTCTTACTCTGTAGTCTTATTCCAAGTCTGAAAATTCAAGTTAGTCCTCACTTCAGAGGGAGGGTTTTCTGTTGAACAACCTATTATTGGGCATGTTACTTCTTGCTTTATTATATATCCCTTGGTAGGTGACATTCATTGTCATCACCCCACTTAAATGGATCTGCATTAAGATCTGGATTTTTCTTCCCTAGTAGAATGAGAGTGCCACTTAAGATAACCTGACACAAGAGTAGTTCCTCCTCCCCAGCCCAGAGAAGAACAGATGACACCTATAAACCTGGTAATCAGGGTAAATTCAAAATTCCCCTGTAGTTCTGAAGAACAGTTTTTAGTTGAAGTTAGACTTCAAAGTCAGTTGGCTCTGTGAAGAAGGTTTAGGAGAATGAAGCAGGGTGAGCCTTTGCAGGTGTTCATTAGCTGACTGAAGCACTAGGCTCTGCTCCTAAAGGATTATGGAACTGACTGGAGCCAGAGCCCACACAGTGTGTGTGTGCACACACATACTTCTTTCCAAAAGAACATTTCAGTGTCTTACAGGTTTGTACCATCTTGTGTGATAACCAGAGGAGCCAGTTGCTGTCAGACTCTCCCACAGTTTCCTGTGGGACTGTGTGATGAAACTAGAAGCAAGCTCTATGTAACAAGACCTCTCTTCTGCTTCAAAGAAAAAGGGAAGCAGGCAGCACAGAGCGAGGGGAATCCTTACTTGTGCAGTGCAGATTTTTGAGGCTCCTGTTAGTTGGAAACAGGGCAAAGCAAACATATTCAGAAATGGGTTTTGTTTATGCACTTATCAAGGCTAAAAGGGAACTGTTTCTGCTGAATATCTGGCCTTCCCTACCCTCTGGCAAGACCCTTTATCAAATTTCCTATCTCATTACCAATGGGTTTTCAGGTTGTTCTGTCGTTGCAGTAGTTTAGGCTGGAAACAGGCTAAAAGCTTGTTCTGCAGTGTGCAAAATGTAGGTGGTAGCTATTTTAGGGCAATATATCACCACCTTCCCTGGTACTTAAGACCTGGCAGCTCTCTCCAACATATTCACCAGCTGAAGAGTATTCTGGCATGGTGGTGATCTCTGCTTTGATTCTGAGGAGGAGGAATATGCAATTGTAGGGTTTGCAGCTCTGTTGAGTTGCCAGCTGCCTCGGGCTGACCTGGCAGTTCTCCATCTTGGCCCTCTAAGCTGTCTTGAAAATATGTAAAGTAGTTGGATGAACATTTTTTGCTTGAACCTGCCCCATGCTTGGTAACTAAAACACACTCTTGCTTGAATTCAGCAATACCAACCTGTAGATGGGCTGTTTTCCCATTATTTTGGATTTGCAGAAGGGATTCAGGGTGCATGGTTACACGAGCATCTGAAAAGAACCTTTCTCAAAACCAAAACCTCTTTGGAGCTTTCCTGTCATCTGGTTTAGGTCCTACTTTTCTTCCCTCCTTTCTCTGTATTTTCCATACTGGTGTTCATCTCTTTTCCTCACACTCAAAAGAAATCTCTTAACAAAGAAGGATGAGAGGAGAACCAAACCAGAGTGCTCGAAATGATAGGTTGGTTTGGGTTGGAGGGCACCTTGAAGAAGTCACTTCCCTGAAACTCATTTGGAGCAGTTCTTGGCTTTGGTGGGAAGCGCACATAGAAGCGATCTAGGATTGTTGCATCTCGCATTCCTTGCAGTGTTTGGTGTCTGTGGGAAGCCAGGGTGCTTCTGAGAGCTCACAGCACCTCTGGTTTGGTGTTTTACAGTTTCTCTTTACCCGAAAAATGCTCTAACAATCATGGCTGAAACAGTTGGTTTGGTGAATTTTGTTCTATCACTGGATGGTTCTTTCTCGCTCTGTCCTTTTTTTATCTCTGCTGTCAGTCTGTCTCGGGTGTCACTAACAAGATCAGGCGCTGTCACATGCCTGTATAAGATTAAAAAATCAAGAACTCATGTTTTAGCATCTTACTGAAATGACAAGTGTAATGCAGAGCACGTACTTCGGGTGTTCTGAAAACCTTTCATCAACATGAATATTCAAATATCACTGTGATATAAGTAAATATATGTCCCTTCTTCCCTTGTGGGGACATAAATACATGTTGCTGTTGGCTCAAGGTGAGTGAGCTTTTGAAAAGAGTCCCAACAGTAGGTCTCATTCCTGAGCTTTGCTGCAAAACCACACCATGAGCAATCTGTGCTACCTAGATCGTGTTGCAATAGGGACTATAGGAACCAAACATCAAGTGTGTAAGGACAACAGGGTCTGTTTCATCCTTTTATTTAGATCTTTGAAACATGGATTTCATCTGGGGCCTTTTCTGTAATGGTAGTTGCTAGAAATAGGGATTATAAAAAAGGCTGTAACTTTATTTTCTGTGCTGGACAATCTGCTAAGCAGCCCTGTTGCTGATGGGTGTACATCAGTGTCTTCTAATGCCACACAGCTGCTCTAGTCTCAGTAGAATATCATAGAATAGAACGCTGGAATGGTTTGAGTTGGAAGGGACCTTAAAGCCCATCCAGTTCCAACCCCCTGCCACAGGCAGGGACACCTTCCACCAGACCAGGTTGCTCCAAGCCCCATCCAACCTGGCCTTGAACACTGCCAGGGATGGGGCAGCCACAGCTTCTCTGGGCAACCTGTGCCAGGGCCTCACCACCCTCACAGGGGAAGGGAAGAACTTCTTCCTCAGATCTCATCTCAATCTCCTCTCATTTGAAATTTGAAGACAGTATCACCAAAGACAAAAGCTCTTGCTCTTGCTGAAGGTAATAACCTGTGAGAGTAGAGCCATGACTGAAAACTCTTATCACTGTCTTTAGCAGTGGTATTAGAATTAGGACTTGTTAGTTTATGGGGAAATGGAAATAATTGCATATTCTCTGCCAACATAGCTTTTGTTGGCTGAGCAGACTGGAATTGGAGAGGAAGCTGAAGGAGCCAATCAGTGTGACTTGCAGAAAACTTTAGACTGGGTAGATAAAATCTAACGCTGGTTTGTGTCACCCTCTTCTTTGCCTGCTGTGGGGATGGACTAAAAAGACATACTGGAGGGAGAATACGGATCCTTTACTACAGCATCTGTTCCATAGTCACAATTTAATCAAATTGCAGGTGAACACTGAAGTTCATTTAGCTGTCAAGAGATGTACCCTGACCACATGCCTGAAGAGAATGGTGGAGTATGGGAGTCATGGTTGCCCCAGTCTGCCAGCGGCTGCAGCAGGATGTAGTCCTCAGCAATGCACGGACAGCTCTTGATTTTATAGCTTTTCTTTCCATCAGAAATCTGCTTTTTGTTCTTCTCCTCATTTTATTGAGTCTTCCAAGAAATGCCATTTACTCCTTCCCCCATTGCATTTGCATGTACTTCCAGATTTTTTGGACAAGTTTGAAAATCCTTATGTAATAAAAAGCAACAAAACAAGAATTAAAACCCTTGGTCATTCAGAAATAGCCATTCAGGAGCTGTGAGTTGCTTTGTCCAGTATTTTGAGAGGTGGTTTGTGCTGCAGGATGGGAGTTAGCTTCTTCCCTTCTACAGAAAATGAGTCTCTTAACAACAGAAAAAACCATATACTGAAGTCTTGGCTAGCCTTCCCATTAGCTGCCCCCCTGCAGCCTGAAGGTGGTGAGGCCCTGGCACAGGTTGCCCAGAGAAGCTGTGGCTGCCCCATCCCTGGAACTGTTCAAGGCCAGGTTGGACGGGGCTTGGAGCAACCTGGTCGAGTGGAAGGTGTCCTTGCCTGTGGCAGGGGATGAGCTTTAAGGTCCCTCCCAGCACAAACCATTGCAGGGTTCTATGATTTTCCCTTAGATTTATGGACACAGTCATGAACATCAAAATCATTTAGGGGAAAAAAATCTTCTTCCTCAGTCACCTCTTCCATTCGTTTTGGTTTGTTTATCACATACACTTGCTGTTACTACTTTAATTTATGTCTCAGTCTCAGTCAGATGCAGGCTGATTGCTGAACCTCCCCAGGCTTTTGATTTCAGCAGGTCATTTTTGCCAAGCAGATGCTCTGTGTTGTTTGCAGGTCTAAAACTACTGCTGTGAGAGAAACCTCCAGGTTGTGGCTTCTGTTGGGCATTTTCTTCTCAGATGTATTATGACCAGATTTTATTGCTCCTTTTCCTCTTCCCTCCCACTGCACAATGAAATGATAATAATTAGGTGGTGTATTTTTGTCAGACTAATAAAATAGCAAACCCAACAAGCTTTGCTTCCGATTTCATTGTTCTTTTCCAGCCATTTGTTATTTAGTCTGAAGGCTTGGCTTCAGCTGTAGCTTGTACCTTCCATGGCCTTTGGTGATCCAAGGTAATCCCTAACAAAATGCGCAGAGTATTGCATGAAAACAATTCCAAGGCCTTTATATTTATTCTGGCAATATTGCAAGAAAAGCTCAGCTATAAACAGGAAAATATGTCAGAAATTTAAGGCTGGATTGATTGCCATGCATCAGACAGCACGAAGAAGTTACATTCTCTGCTTCATTCTAGTGCTGACAGTTCCAGCTTGTTGGTCTTTATCTCTGTAACAGCAGTCTTGCTTTTTCCACCAGTTCAATTCTTATGCAGTTTTAACCACCTATAGTTTTGAGAGCCTCTGGAGCTGAAAACACTCTCCTAAACTCCCTGAAACCTCAGTTTCTCAACCTTCAAATAGTTTGTAGTCTTTGTTATAGGTAGCTGCTACAATCGCCTGAAGAGTGTAGTAGTAAAGGAGCAAGAAGATAAATACTTTGTAGTTGTTTTGGTGTCTCACTGCTGCTATTCAAAGCGCACCAATGAAGCTAATGACAAATACTGGAAATAGTTTAAATGTTATGGAGGAAAAACTGATTATTAGTGTAGTGTTTGAGTCAGGAAAGCAGCCATGTTTCCTGATGAGATGCGATGAAAGTCTCATTTTCGTGTGGGCTATGGAATAGTAAAGACATGGCTGTGCTGAATGTTCTTAGCACTGCTCACCTCCAGATGAGGTCCTGTAAGAACTTCAGTTCTTTTTCTCCAAGGACTTTTAGTTGTCTCTTTCCAGTGGAGAAAGACCCAATTCTCTCTTGTGTTGAGGAAACATGTCAGGGAGTTCTGGTGAGAGCTAAAGCCCTCTTGTATTGCAGCTGTGTCTGCTGTCCTGCAGAGGTTGGCTTCTGCTGGAGTAGGCTTATTTTTTTGAGCTCTTCTGTCTAAAAGCCTCGTTAAAAAAACCAAAGCAAAACATCACAGTGTTTCTTGCTTGCATCTTAACTGTAGTTACCCACTGCTGAAGCTGCCACTGCCTGGAACAGGACCTGTGGAGTACAGCACCCCCGTGAAGGATTACTCTGCACCCTCTCCAGACGCAGGTCTGCAACAAGGGGACCTCAGTGAGCGTCCCGACTGGGTGAGTCCTGCACTGAGGGGTGGGGGATGTGTGTGGAGTCAATGAAATGATGGAACATCCCTCCTGAGTTACCTGCACTTTACTGGATTGATGGAAAATACTTCTGGTGATGTGTTGCTTTGTGTACCTGCTCAGTTTAGGCTGTATTGTTTTGTATCAGTGGTGCTGTATCAGAAAAATGGAAGAGTTAAAAGCTCTGAAATGCTCTTTAAGAGCCCATTTTTCAAGGATAACATTATCTGAGGCAAGTAGCACACTTTTAAAAGCATTATTAGGTTTTAAATAAGCTTAATAACGGGGTTTGGGATATCAGGTGAGAATTTCCTAACATCTTACAAAGGCACACAGTTTCCCTAGAGCAGCAGGACAAACCTCCTGCTGACCCTGCTTCCCATCCCTGCCCGTGGCCTCCTCCTCCAAAGGGCAAGAGTAAGATTTGGTCGGCATTTATTGCTGTGACTGTGTGGAGATGCTACCAGTAATTATGGTGGTGGGTTTCATGTTGTCCATCTTTCTCTGAAGGGATCTGGGTTTTGGCTGTCAACCAGCTTCTCTTTCAAAGATCTCTGACTACCTGTCTGCCAGAGTGGGAATGTCTGTCTGGCCTGGAGGTGGAAAACACTGTCCAGCTCCTCAGCCCTTGCAGTTTCCTCTATTTTGGCTTTAAAAATACTGCATCCAGCACATCTTTTTTATCCTGATAGGGTAGGTAGCCTAGGCTTCACCTCTGGGACACAGGCTGTTTTCTTAAGGTCAGTCAAGAGTTTTTCATTTGAATTGAATTTAGGCAGCCAGAGACTCTGTCTATGGAGCTAACAGCTACGCTGTGGTCTAGGGAGTGTAGGAATGTTTGAAGAACCTGGGGAACTGAGTGTAACCTGAAGGTGGGGTTTGGTTTTGTTTTTGATTGACCGATGCATATCATTCAGGTAAGTGAGACTTAGGTGCTTATGTTAAGGGCTAAGAGCTAACTTTTGTGTGAGCAAACTGGAATCCTGATGCTTTCCAAGAAGGCTGGTAACCTGGTCCAGGAAACAATTCAAAAATCATCCTTTGTAACCTTCATTTTTCTTTCTCATTCTGGTGTCTCTCTGAAGTAGAAGTTAGCTTTTGGTTTAATGCTTCTGATGCCTCCAGCTCTCGACTCTCTCCATGTGTGCTCTTCTCACTGTGATTGAAATAATTTGCTGCCTTCTGCGCTTGCTGGTACCTCTGAGAGCTTTTTGCACTGTGCTGTTAACTCAGGCTGCTGCTGGCTGATTAAATCTTCCCTATGGTTCTATGATTCTGCTTTGTTGCCTAGTTCAGCTAATAGAACACAAAAGCTCTGTCTGCCACAGCATGTCAGCACCGCAGTCCCCAAAGCTGGGTCAGCAGCCTGGGCGCAGACACCAGGAGGATTTAAATGGCACATGGCCGAGTCACCGCAGGCTGGGGGAACCACAGTGTTGTGAGAGGCATCTGTGAGAGGCAGTGAGTCCCGGCTCCTGCCTTTCATTCCAGTACCAAATTCAGCAGGAGCTGGGAGCTTCTGCCTCACAAAGAAGCGCAATAGACCGATGCCAAAATGGCCAGTGGCATTTTGCCTTTTTGAGAAACAGACTCCTTTTGTTCTTGCTAGGTTCCTACTGACAAGTTTCACCTCTAATTTGGGAAAGGAAAATACAATCTGGCAAACCCCTTCCTGAAAGGTTGCCAAGCTGTGGTCTAATTCTGCTAAGCAGCTTCCCACTCACCGTATGTTTTCATTCTCCCTCTGGTTTTCCCCACAGTATGTCGGTGCTCCGGTGGCCTACATCCAGCAGATCTTTGTGAAAGCTACTGTGTCCCCATGGCAGAAGAACTTCCTTGCTGTGGATGTATTTCGTTCACCCCTCTCCCGCGTCTTCCAGCTAGTGGAGGAGATTAGAAACCATGCCCTGAGAGACAGGTAATTACTGTTCATTATGGGTTGTGTAGAAGGCAGACTGACCCACTGGCTTACACACCCATTTTCTCAATTACTGCCTCGTAGTTCTGATTATTAGCTTTGAATTTGTAAGGTTCTCACAATTAAAAGAAAATGAGAGGTCACTGCAAATAGGTGACATTATATTAATGCTGCATGTAGGGCAGTTTATCATAGTCATAGAATCTTAAAATGGTTTGGGTTGGAAGGGACCTTAAATCTCCACTCTTTCAGCTTAAAGACATTCTCCCTTGTCCTGTGTTCAGCTTTTGTGACGTGAGAGCATGCCTGCCCTCTAGTCACTGGTAATTGTAAGGAACCTTCCAGTTGGGGTCTTGGCAGAGAGGTGTGAAGGGCGCTGCCAAGGCTATACATGTTACAAAAGATAGTAGCGTTGTGTCTTCCCTCTGTAAGCACGCAAACTTCCTATTAAGGGAAGTTCTTTTAACCCCAGTGTGTCTATTGTGAAACTCTTCCTCATTTTGTGAATTCTTCTTCATAGGCTGGAGCACCTCTGCTATAGAGACAGGCTGAGAGAGCTGGGCTTGTTCAGCCTGGAGAAGGCTCTGAAGAGACCTTAGAGCAGCTTCCAGTGCCTAAAGAGGCCAACAAGAAAGCTGGAGAGGGGCTTTTGACAAGGGCAGGAGGGACAGGACAAGGGGGAATGGCTTTGAACTGACAGGTTTAAATTTAGATGGGATCTGAGGAAGTTCTTCCCTGTGAGGGTGGTGAGGCCCTGGCACAGGTTGCCCAGAGAAGCTGTATCTGCCCCATCTCTGGCAGTGTTCAAGGCCAGGCTGGACAGGGCTTGGAGCAACCTGCTCTAGTGGAAGGTGTCCCTGCCTGTGACAGGGGGTTGGAACTGAATGAGTTTTAAGGTCCCTTCCTAAAATGGCCAAACCATTGTAGGATTGTAGACTCCCACATGGTCGGGAGCATCTCCTGACTTTTCACTTGGCTCTGTTTAAGACCAGTTTAAACGTGCTTTATTTTGTCCTGACAGTCTTTGTACAACAATAGCTTTCCTCTGTTTCATATAGTTACAGGGAGAACTCATATCCCCCACCCCAAATCCTCATTTGTTAAGCTAAACTTATGAGACTCTCTGCTTACTCCAGTAGGCTGTCTCTGTATTCAGAGTGTCACACTGGTTGCTCCTTTTGGCACTGTTTTTAACGCATCATTCCTGATTGTGGGAGTTAGAATTGTACACGCTATTCTCAGAGAGGTCTCATTTGTGTGTTATTTTCCATGGAAAAGCTTTTCCTGAAATAGAAGACTGCAGGTCCTTTTTTCATGGCCGGTCACATCACTTTTACACATTATAGAGTGATTAACATCTCCATGTCCCTCTCATCATTTCCAGCTAATGAGCTTTGGAAGGTTAGAGCAGAAGCCCTTTTTAGTCCCCAGGTGCACTTTGTATTGTTAATAGAAATGGGCTTAAGTTTATTGCAGCCCTTACGTGATCCTGTTCAGATATTTTATTCTCTTTCTGTATCAACAGGGTTTCTTTATTTTGTGTTACTGGCAGATGGCTCTGTGTCTTCTTTCAAGATTATTAAGAAAAACATGTAATAGTCCTGGTTCTCGGAACTGCCTGTGTGAAATTCCATGTTGTTTTCCTCGGTACTGGTGGTTCCCCTTTCAGCAGCTCCACCACCAGTTTCCTGTTAACCTGGTTCTTTACTGCATCACCATTTTTGTGCTATTTTTTGTGTCTTCTTGTAAGCTAAAGCATTTTCTGTGTGCTGCTGCAACAAAAGCTTTCTTTGGGCTCAGGTAGACGAGAGCTGCTGTGCTTTCCCCTTGCAACAAGGGAGGCATTTCTAGAAGAGCTCAGATGAGTTTGGCATGTTCTCTCTTGATAAACCAAGAAGCATTTTCTACACATCAAATTGCCTCTGTTTTTTTATTTTTTTTAATAGTTTTCCTTTGAGTTCTAAGTCTTCATCTACGTTAAGTGTCTGGCTGGGTTTAATTCTAAGGGCAGAAGGGCTTTCCTACCTGTCCATCTGTATTCAGTGAGAGTGATGGTGCTAGGAACAGGCCAAATGTGGTGACAAATGGGGAGATTAGATTCTGATTATCTCCCAGCTTTTCAGCCCCGAGCTTTCTTCATTCTTTGTCCCGAAACTCCCACAGGTAGGGAAGATTTACTGCTTCTCCCTCCTTCCTTGGCAGCATCCTTCAGTGCTTATTTTTTAGAGTGGCCACTTCACTGCTCTATGTGATGATTTGTCCTTTTTCCTTTAAACCTGCCCTTGCAAGCTAGGCACCTGCTCTCTGTGTGCTCATGTTTTAAGAATGCCATTTACAATGTCAAACGTGGAGCTCTTCCCCACCAGCTCACACAGCCTTGGTGCTGACATTCTTCCCGTGTTTCCGCCTCATCTCCTCCTTTATCACATGTGTCACGGTAGATAGTGATCTGTATATAGTTGCCAATTACTAATTGTCAAGGTAGAAGCAGCTTGCTCCCAGGACACGTGTTGTCTTGTTGTTATCTCTCCTTGGTGGTGCCCTTGATAAATGCTGATGCATTATGGAAGCAAAATTAAACTTCCATGGCCACCAGAAGAAAGAGGCTTCAGCACTTAGACCTAACCCTTGGGAAAAGGCTCCCATTTTGGTGATGGACTCAGATATTACAGGAAACATCTAACTTCAATATAAACTCTGAAATTATCTCAAAAGGTGTTATCAAGTGCCTTGTGGTCAGGTGCTTTTCTCAGGATCAAAGTTAAGTGCAGCTGATTTTCTTAATGTTAAAAAAGGCATTCTTTTGTACTGAAGTACAGAAGGAGCTGAAGGTTATTGACAAGAATAGGGAACACAAGCTGATTATATTGTCATCAGCTGTAAGCTTGCTGAAACTTGGGGCACTCATCGTTTGAAGGAATGCCAAAAGTGACATGAAATTTGTAGTTTGCTCCAAGGTCATGTTCTTTGGTATCACTCTGCATCCACAGTAAACCGGCAGGGACACTGGCTGTGTGCATTAGCTTCTTGCATGAGTGTAAACAGGCTTATCTGCTGTGTAAACTGTTATCACCTGCAGTCCTGCATCCAGCTCTGGGGCACCCAACATGAAAAGAATGTGGAGCTGATGGAGTAAGTCCAAAGGAGGCCACAGAGATGCTCTGAGGGCTGGAGCACCTCTGCTATGGAGACAGGCTGAAAGAGCTGGGCTTGTTCAGCCTGGAGAAGAGAAGGCTCCGGGGAGACCTTAGAGCAGCTTCCAGTGCCTAAAAGGGCCCACAAGAAAGCTGGAGAGGGGCTTTTGACAAGGGCAGGTAGGGACAGGACAAGGGGGAATGGCTTTAAACTGACAGAGGGGAGATTGAGATGAGATGTGAGGAAGAAGTTCTTCCCTGTGAGGGTGGCGAGGCCCTGGCACAGGTTGCCCAGAGAAACTGTGGCTGCCCCATCCCTGGCAGTGTTCAAGGCCAGGTTGGACACAGGGGCTTGGAGCAACCTGGTCTGGTGGAAGGTGTCCCTGCCCATGGCAGGGCGTTGGAACTGAATGAGCTTGAAGGTCCTTTCCAACCCAAACCATTCTGGGGTTCTGTGATCACTGTTAGGTTTCAGAGTTCGCTAAAGCTGAGATACAAAACAATAGCTGTCTTACTCTTCCTGGACCTATTATCAGAGGCATCACTGCATCAGTTCCTTGAAATTATTTTTCAGAAATCTTCTGTTCTGATAAACACAGCATTTTCGAGCATATATTCTAGTATTTTCTTTTGACAGCTGGGACTTTTCAAAGATTCTTGCCATATAGTGACAGGAAAGAGATTCTGAAGGGAGTTTTCACAAAGGAATAACAGAAATCATCACTGTCTGGTTTCTGTGTTTGATTTTTGTAGCCATTACAGAAAGAAAAACCCTTCTCTAGAGAAGGCATTTTACAGTAGGACCATAAATGACTTCTCTTTGGGAGCCACCTTCTCCGTAATCTGCAGGGCTGGAGCCGGGGAAGACTGGTCTCTTGTGCCTTTAATTCATCTCTGTTTAATACACACTTCCTGTGCAGATCCCACCAGCTGCCTGTGTCGTGTTGAGGGAAGTGTTCTCTTTTGGACTGGCAGCTCTTCCTTGTCTAGCCAAGTGGCGTGCTGACAGGTTTTGTCACCAGACCTTCACAGTCAGATCCTATTGTAAGCCCAGATTGAGTCTTGTGTTAATAACTAGCTGATAAGGATTATGTAATTGTCTTAAATGAATCTTGGGAACAAACACAAGTTCCATTTCATACCAGTTACATGTCTAGTAATTTCTGAACCTGTAAGGCATTTTCTTTTCCATACAATAGAGAGGAATTCTGAACACATTTTGCAGTTACAGATATTGAATCCTTTGTATATTTTGGAGGCCTCTGTACACCTTAACCCACCTGAGCAGGGTTAGTAAAGGTTTCTGTAAAATATCCCTTTGAATATATGGAAAGAAGTATGCAGATCAGTTAAGGGTCTTTGAAGAATTCCAGGGGGATAGTTTCTCTGTAGACTGCAGGTGTCATAAACGTGGAACCTATTATGGCTGAAGTGGGAAAGTTGTGTGGCCTGACAGTGTGCAGAGAACTGATAATACCAGAATCTTAGAATCCCAGAATAGTTTAGGTTGGAAGGGACCTTAAAGCTCTTCCAGTTCCAAACCCTTGTTATAGACAGGGGCACCTTCCACTAGACCAGGTTGCTCCAAGCTGCATCCAACCTGGCCTTGAGCACTGCCAGGGATGGGGCAACCACAGCTTCTCTGGGCAACCTGTGCCAGGGCCTCACCACCCTCACAAGGGAAGAACTTCTTCCTCACATCTCATCTCAGTCTCCCCTCTGTCAGTTTAAAGCCATTCCCCCTTGTCCTGTCCCTACCTGCCCTTGTCGAAAGCCCCTCTCCAGCTTTCTTGTGGGCCCTTTAGGCACTGGAAGCTGCTCTAAGGTCTCCCTGGAGCCTTCTCTTCTCCAGGCTGAACAAGCCCAGCTCTCTCAGCCTGTCTCCATAGCAGAGGTGCTCCAGCCCTCAAAGCATCTCCATGGCCTCCTCTGGACTCACTCCAACAGCTCCACATGTTGGGTGCCCCAGATAATGGGCCTTTGGAGTCTGTACACCTGTTACAGTGAGATCCTTGTCTGTGAACTGAGGCTCTTGATCCTTAGTTATGAAAAGCAAGAGCAGTAGCATGGTGGTGTGGGTCCTTGGGGCGGTGTGGTCCTTGAGTTCACTTTGGCAGATTTGCCTTTTGTTTGTGAGAGCTGCAACAGACACGGCAGTGTCTGACTGTTGTTTGTGTTTCAGTTCTGGTGTCAAAAGCTTGGAGGAAGTTTGCCTTCAGGTAACAGATCTTCTGCCTGGCCTCAAGAAGCTACGGAATCTGCTCCCCGAACATGGCTGTCTGTTACTGTCTCCAGGGAACTTCTGGCAGAACGACCGTGAGCGATTCAATGCTGACCCAGATATCATCAAAACCATCCACCAGCATGAACCAAAGACATTACAAACATCAGCTACTCTCAAAGGTAAGATGCTGAAGTGCCAAAGAAGCTGTTGAGAAACGTTTACAGCTTGCATTGCTGTTTTGTCCTTAGTATCTCCAACATCTTGATTGCCAATATTACCAAATGTGGTGGCATTTTGTTACAGCATCCAAAATGAGGCAACGAAATGTATGTCATCTCTCATTTGTATCTGTATTTGAGCTCAGCACTGTATTAGTGCAATACAGTCTCAGTCAGACTCCTTTCTGTAGGTGTAAAAATAGCAGGTAACTTGTCCAAGTCTTTTTGTTCCTCTTACTCTGTGTGCTTCAGCCCATCTTTGTCCCTCATACTATTGTCTGTCAAGACTGCCTCATTGTTAGAGGTAAATGAACATTCATCCTGCTGCCTCGTGTGCTCACCGATAGTTGCTCACATTTACCCCAAGTATCATAAAAGCATATTTCTCTCTTAATTAAGAAAATCCTTTGACCGTGGCTGGGATCATACACTTTAGTGGTTCCATAAGGCCAGAGGAAATGCTGTTCGTTTGCTTCTAAAGGAACTTTGTAGATGTCAGGAAGCCTATAATATGACGTGTCTGAAAAGGGGTTTGTAACTCTAAAGTAGGTTTGTTTTAAAGGTTATTTTTTGAGCATACAGAGCGTGTGCACACTGGGGCTTGGAGGCGCAGGGAGCCTCTCTGAGAGCTCATGTGCAAATGAGGTAGAGCTCCACAATATCCTGGGAATTCCTGAGAACAGCAGCAGTGTTCATCATTATCCCTGGTTTTTAAGGTCTGCATTTTAGTGCACAAGATCAGCAGAAGAGACGTTAAATAGCCTTTTGCAATGAAAGGTCTGCCTGGAACCTCTGGTTCACATCTGACATGGACAAAACCAAGTGTCCAGGGTTTTCTTTGGCTGCATCTTTAAAGGAGATGCCTGTCTCCACTGTCAAAGGACAAACTGGGTGGCATCCTGACATGCCTTTACAGTAACACACAGAGTTTGAGGAGCAAACAGGAGGAACTGGAGGTGCATGTAGCTCATCCAGCTCAGAGATGGCGTGAAGTGGCTCACAATCATGAAATCACAGAATGGTTTGGGTTGGAAGGGACCTTGAAGCTTTTCCAGTTCCCCCCTGCCACAGGCAGGGACACTTTTCACTAGACCAAGTTGCTCCAAGCAAGCCCTGTCCAACCTGGCCTTGCACACTTCCAAGGCAGTACTGGAGCGCTGCTGTGGCTGGATGCAGACTCTTCAGGAAGGAGAGGCTGGGAGGGTGAGGATTGTCCTTTTGCGAGTGAGCAGCGGGAACACGTGGAGCTTTGCTTAGGAATAAGTGATGATCTAATTGAGAGCTTATGGGTCAGGATTAGAGGGCAGAACTTGCCTGCTGCAGACTGCCCTGTCAGGAAGAAGCTGAAGACAGACAACGCCGCCACAGGAGGATTTTTCTTGTACTTGAAGGGAATGCCTGTGGTTTAATTTGTGCCTGTTGCCTCTTGTCTTGTCAGGGACATCTTCCACTCAGCCTGTCGATTTTGTTGTTATCCTAATGTTCCATTCATACTCTGTGTTTGCAGACCTGTTGTTTGGACTCCCTGGGAAGTACAGCGGGGTGAACCTCTACAATAGGAAGCGAGTGGTATCGTACACTGTCACCCTGGGTCTCCAGCGATATGATTCCAGGTGAGGAGCTGTGGCTGTGCTATTTCTATGTTAGGGATCCCTTGTTCAATTCTTGGCTAATTCGCTGTTTGCTCTGCTCTGTTTATTGATATGTTTTTCTTTAATCTCTGTTTTTTTTGTGGGTTAGGATATTTTAGGGTCTTCTGAACATGCTGTAGAAAAACAGGGCACTGGTTTTGGCAGAAAGCTTGCTGTGTTTTAGGGAAATGAAATACTGTCCATTCTCAGTTTCTCTTCTACAAAAGAAATCTATATAATGCCCAGAGATGCCAGTGGGAGTTCCTCCCATGGTGGCTTCATCTGCACACAGAGCTGCCACTGCTGCAGCCAAGGCCCAGTAGGTCTGTTTTGACCCAGTTCCTGCTACAAGTCATTTGCTTTCCAGTAAGTGCTAACTGAACTGGTACCACCTGTGAAACCCCTTTGGCAACGTTGGCAAAGCTGGCTTGGATTGAGTGCATGTGAGGACTAAACACTCTGCTCAGTGCTGCACAGAATTCCCCAAGGGATGCCTAGAACAGAATTGACAGCACTGTAGTTGAAACTTGCTCCTCTGCTGCCCATGCAAGAACCCTGCAGCCTCAAGGACTGTCATGTAGCACCTTTCATCAGCTGTAATTACATAAAATTCAGGGGATGATAGAGACTACAGTGTATTCTGTTCCCCAAGGCCAAGGTTTTGAATGATGAGCCCTTGCTTTAGACAGTTTTCATTGAATCCTAGGATACCATGTTGGAAGGGACCTCAAGGATCACCTGGTCCAACCCTTCTAGGCAAAGCATGGCCCACCAGCACCTTGTCCAGCCAAATTTTAGCAGTGTCCAGTGCTGGGGAGTCAGCACTTCCCTGGGGAGATAATTCCAGTGCCTGATTATTCTCAGTATGAAAAATTTTCCTCTTGCGTCCAGTTGGAACCTCCCCAGGAGTAACTGGAGCCCATCAGCCCTCATCTTTTGTATGTGACTCCCTCCCTGTAAAAAGGGAGTCTCTGTGTTCTTCGTGATCACCCTTTAAACACTGGAACATGGTGATGAGGTCTCCCCTGAGACCTGTCAGCATCTTTTTTGTATAGTGGGGAGCAAAACTGAGCACAGTATTCCAGGAGTGCCCTGACAAGTACTGAATGGGACAGTGACATCTTTACCTCTGCTGGTGATGCCCTTGTTGATGTTCCCAGCATCCAGCTGAGCTTTCACAGCTACCTGTTTCATAGAAATCAAGGTCTGTGAGGTTGCCACAGTAGAGATATGGCACGTGTAGTTTGTGCCTCAGAGGCACAGACTTTAGGAGTCAGGCCTAGAGAGAACCATGCTTTGTTAGCCTGTGAATCTGTGGAGCTTCTTCCTACTTGATCTATACCCACTGAGTTTCTCCATGGAATGATGTGCTTGTTGTTGAGTACAGTGTAATTGACATCTCCTGCTGGCTTTCCATCTTAGGTTCCTCAGCAGCCTCCGCTCTCGTCTCAAGCTGCTGCATCCCAGCCCTAACTGCACGCTGCGAGAGGAGAACATCGTTCACGTCCACTTCAAGGAAGAGATTGGCATTGCTGAGCTGATACCCCTCGTCACCACCTACATTATACTCTTCGCATACATCTACTTCTCCACACGTAGGTTTGTGGGGTGGAGAGACCTGAGGGCAGAGCGAGCTAATGAGCCACCTCCACACCTGCCAGCTGAATTTATGTGTGGCATCAGTGGTGCAGTGCCCTTTCCCTGCCTGCAGCTAAGAGAGACTCCTGTCTGTGCCCTGCAGTTCCCTCCTGTTTCAGCAGGAAAGGTGGTGTTGAAATTGTACCCTGAACTGTCAAGGAAAGAATGGGTAGTCCTGTTTATCTGATTTCTGCTGACCTGTCCCTCTTAGCAGTGTGGTGGTATTCCTTGTGGTGTCTTCTGAGGAGCTTTCATTTTAGGCAACTTTAAATCCATTAGTAATGACATTTTTCCAGTTTAGAGAGACTAATTCATTGTCAGACAGATCAAATACATGTTTTGAGGTGGTGGTTTTAGACTTTAACAAGCCACGTTTAGTGGCTAGTGCCTTTTTTATGCCTCAACAGTGCTGTACTGGAGCTAGTTTGAGCCGCAAGCTGTGCATGCCTCTGTCCTTCCCTTGTTACAGTACTTCTTACTGGGAGGGCTGGGAGCTGCATTTCAGACATTGAGGCTGAACTACCATTATTCCTGCGTTCAGGGTATCGAGCTGCCTGATGAAATAAGTCAGGATGAGGATCCCTTCTTGTGTTTATAAGTTATCTTCTTTTACTTGGTAACCAAGACTTTGCATTCTTTATTCCAGGGAAAATTGACATGGTGAAATCAAAGTGGGGTCTGGCACTGGCAGCGGTGGTGACAGTGCTCAGCTCTCTGCTCATGTCCGTCGGGCTCTGCACACTGTTTGGTTTGACACCTACGCTTAATGGAGGGTACGTTTCCAGCGCCAAACCTCTTCCTGAGGAAGGGTAGATGGAGGTGAAATAATGTGAAAACACCTGTTAAGTGCTTAATCTTTAAGATCTGGTATTTTAAAAATAAGCTTATGTGATATTCTTTTACACACTCCTATGCAAAATTATTATCAGATGCTTCCCACGGCTGAAGGACCATGTGTTTCTGTGCTGGCCAGCAAATAGACCTGACTGGGTCCCAGTCTCCCTGGGGATGCCTCGTTGCCTAGCAGTTGGCTTTTTCTGCCTAAAGCAGAAGGGATTGTTGGGACAACACTTTATAACTTGATTCCCTCGCAGCTAAGTAGGCTCTCGCATACCTTCCTCCTGCAGTGACTTGCTGTGCCATTCAGGAGAGCTTGTTACCTTTCTTCTGGATGAGGGAGGTTCAATCTTTAAGGGTGGCAGAACTGAGCTGTGGTATTTGTGTCTGGGAGGCTGCCTGGGTGACTTCGCATCCAACACTGGTTGATAGTTGTTTGCTCTTCTTTTAATGGGTTCCTGTGCATGTTAGAGGTGGCATCTGGGACTTCTGATGGGGTTACTACCACTCATTATATTTGTGTCAAGCTGAAAAACCTTGAGAAAGCTCTTAACTGGCACCTCACCTACCCAAGCTCTACACTGTTCATTCCTCATTAAAGTTCCGTTTGGAATCTTCTGGTTTTCAGATCCCTTTCGTAAGCAGTTAAGGAAATATCCCTCATTTTTCTTGCCATCACTGTCCTTGCAGCTGTATGGTGCAGGAACACTGAAAAGCCTGACCCCTGAGGGGTGAGTCTCTCCCCGCAGAGAGAGTGCTGGGGAGAGTTTACCAGGAGCCAGCCTTAGATGGAGGAATTCCTCTCCTAGAAGCCTAAAAAGTGTGATGAAATAGTTGTTGTTTCTGGTTTCACCACTGTTGTGCCTTGGAACCTTAATTAGGGATCAAGCCTCTGTTGTTCTGTGAGCTGTACAAATAAACCAGGGGCAATCCACTGGGAGTTCGTAGTTTTAATACAAGAAAAAAGGCAGTATTTGGATGTAGATATATGGGAGCTGTTCCAAGGGAATGGGTAAAGGGATGATCAAGACCTGTGTTTACTCTCACCCTTACTGCTTTCATACAGAAGGGCTAAACTAAGTTTAGGATAGCAAGAGTTAATTCAGTCCTTATTTCTACAAAAAAGAAAAATAATCTAATTTTCCAGCAAAATTTCTTTGCTTAATTCTTGCAATACTTTATAAATCACGTTTATTTACACAGAAGACCCTTGGATTCCATGCCGATGGGATCTGATGACCCAGTTTGGTTTGTTTTGTCACTTGTGGTGAGTGACCTTTTCCCGATTCCCCAGTGCCTGGCAGAGCACTTCCTCTCTAGTTACCTGACTCTTGATGGAAGACGGAGTGTGCCTGGTGTGTCACACACCCGTGGCAGCGCGCTGGGGTTTGGCCAGCATAGGGTGCGGAGTCTGGTTCAACTTTGATCTGGCTTTTGGTCTTTTTGATCTGTTTTGTTTACAGCAGAGCCTTCCAGATGTGGGTGTGTTTGTTTTTCATGGGACTTGTATTTATGATAAGCTTTTTTCCATTGCTGGGTTTCTTAAGGTATTAAAATAAAGCTTATTTCTTAGAGATCAGCATTTGCTTGCTTACAGACGTGATACATAAACTGGACCGTAATCATTATCAACCAACTTTTATAATGAATTTATAATTATTGTGGTTGAGGTAGGTGTTAGTCTTATTTCACAGAGAAATGGAAATAGGTGACATCTGTGCAGGGTTTAAGGAAGAGTAAGCAGTAAGGCTGAGGAGAATGCCTGGAGTGGGGTTCCTGTGCACTGGTGGATTGGGAGGGTCTCTAATGAGTCTGGAGCACAGACTGCTAACCCACAAGTTGGCATCTCAGCTAGGGTCAGAGGAGTCACAGTCTGAAACGATGAACTACTCCTTATTGCCTGTAAAAAAGGCATAAACCTGCTCGAATGTGAAAATCTGCATTTTAGATGAGAGGCTGATATGATCAGTTCTTAAATTCTCCACGTTTTGGATAAATCAAAGTTTGCCTCTGTTCACAAGTGTATATGGAGTCACAGAAAATCTGCTTTTTTATGAGTCGACAGTAGTGTTTCTGTTGACTCTCTGAGGTGCTGGATCATGCTATAATGTAGCACCTTCTGGCATTAAATCAGTAAGTTTCTGTAGATAGACATAATACGGCATCTGCCCTTGCTCTTGCTCTTCCTCTTGTAAGCTCTTTCTCAGTGCTAGGCAATGCATGGCAGAAAACATAATGAGGATCTCTTGCCATCTGCCTCCAAGTGGAAACGAATGAGGTTTTGGAGTTGCAGGGCGTGAACAGCTCGGGTTTGTCCTCAACTGTTGCATTATTCTTCAGGAAGAGTTCATGTCTCATTGCTTTCCATTTGCTCTGCTGGTCATTTCACATGAAAGCTGCTGACTCTTCAAGGACTATTGAAACTCCTAAGCCAGGAGTATTAGTTAATTATCTTCTGCAGTAGAAGCTACAGATTAAGTAGGACATAGTTAATGAAAGAATTCCAAGCTTTCTTTTCTGTGTTTGTTCTGCCTTCTGAAGGCTACCAGAGTTTATCTGGGAATGATGCTATTCCACCTGCCTGCCTTGCATAAGGACAGGACTGTGCAAGGACTCCATGAGAGCACACCCTTGCAGTTAACATGCTCTGCAGGATGTGCTCTGCTGTGACAGGCAGCAGAGCTCTCCCTCACGTGTGTTGTGTTGTCTTTTACTTAGAGCTTTCCATCTGTAAGTATTACAAAGAGCTTTTCTTAAGTCTGCCTCCTGTCTTACAGTACTGCTTGGAGAAATGACACAGGTTATGAACTGAGTATACTGTAGATAAAGGCGAGAACTGAGTTGTACTTGCTGAATTTTGGATTCTTTGACATTAACAGGAAGTTGCCCATGAGAGGCTTATATAGATTTGTATTTTTTTCACTCACTATGGAAATTCATGGCCTATGCAGCTTTGGACAGGAGGTGAAGGAGCCAGTATGTTGCACAATTGTTAGAGCTAAAATTTGGTTATAATACTTGGAGAATCCTTGAATAGTTTGGGTAGGAAGGGACCTTAAAGCTCATCCAGTTCCAAACCCCTGCCACAGGCAGGGACACCTTCCACCAGACCAGGTTGCTCCAAGCCCCATCCAACCTGGCCTTGAACACTGCCAGGGATGGGGCAGCCACAGCTTCTCTGAGCAACCTGTGCCAGGGCCTCACTGCCCTCACAGGGAAGAACTTCTGCTTCAGATCTCATCTCAATCTACCCTCTGTCAGCTTAAAGCCGTTCCCCCTTGTCCTGTCCCTACCTGCCCTTGTCAAAAGTTCCTCTCCAGCTTTCTTTTCTTTGGATTTTGTTTTTGGGGGTCATTTGTTTTTTGTTTTTGTTTTGTTTTTCCTGTAATCTTACTTTCAGTGGCAGTCTTGCTGTTTCAGCTTGCTGTTTGTTCAAGGAATCAACTGGCATGAAGTAGCTGAGTTAGCAGGAGTGGTTCCAGACAGATGTTTTTCTGCAGCCGAGCTTGTAGGGCACAGGCTGCTGGCAGCAGTATGTGTGCAAATGTTGTTGACGCTCGTGTCATATGGCCATAGGCGATCAAAACCAGCACTTGGCAAGGTGGCCCTTGAGGTTACAGCAGGTAATGCTACAAAGCAGGAGGTGTTCTTCTGGAACCCTGTCGTTTACCTGTCTTGGCTGTTAGTGATGTGCCAAGGGGTGTGAGTGCATGCATTCACGGTCTCCTTTTGGATCCATACATACCAGCACAGCACAAATCCAGTACCCTTCACAATGGAAGCTTTAGTTTTGCTTAAGTTTAGCTGGAGGGAAATGGAGAGGTTTACTGTCTACCATATTCTGGCACAGGACAGCTGCTTCTCGCTGATCTGGACTGCTGGTAGTTCAAACGAGAGAAAAAAGTTCAGGGGTGAGAAGAAGAGTTGAGTAAATTCATGGTGGTGACCTTGGGTTATCTTACTTTTGTATGTGCATGTATTCATGAAGGGCAAATCCATTTCAGTGTGTTTTCTTGACTCTTGGGTAGAAACTATCCCTGTCAGGATTTATTTATATGCATAAGCATATGCAGGTTTCATGTTGTTCTCAGTGTTGTGGCTTCCGAGCTACCTGGTGTACTGGAGAACAGAGCTCCATGCACATTCTTCTCCCAACAGAGAAGTGTGTCATCATGTGTCTCCTTCATTGCCTGAGGGAATTACTTAGAGCAGGTGCAAGGGATGGAGGATTTTGCCTGCTGGGTACCTGCACCAGGCACTGCCCAAGCTCTTCACTTTTGAAGTTGCATTTAATGTAATGCTTAGCTGTTGATATAGCAGGATTTTCAGTGTCAGCAGTGGGCCATGCTCCCTACCCTCTCATTGTCATGCTCTCCTGCCGGCTGACTGTCACTGAGTCTGTTGCAGTGGTGTTCCAAGTCCCTTTTCCATTTGCACCTCTTTCTACTAGGTGCTGGAGAGACTTTCCAAGGGCACTGTCCCAACCCTGGGAAGCATTAAAGACTAATTTAGTGGTGGTCTACAACTGCTATTTTCCAGCAAATGATGCAGCTTTGCAAAAACATTAATGTCTGTCCAAAGCAGATGAAATACAGAACTCTTACCTCATCATAGAGTAATATTTTATGTGAAGCGATTTGGCTAAGAGCACTGGGTAGCATTTCCTGACCTTGGCTTTGGGATGTGTGTTTGCTGCTTAACTTGCATTCTTCCTGTCTTTTCAACCCAGGATCTCATTCTCAGTTCTGGCTCTGTTCCCTCTAGAGAGATATTTCCATACCTGGTTGTAGTGATTGGCCTAGAGAATGTGTTGGTGCTCACCAAGTCAGTTGTCTCTACACCTGTTGACCTGGAAGTGAAGCTGCGCATTGCCCAAGGTATGCAGCCTGCTCTGCTCTGGAAGACTGTTAGAGAGAAAATTCGGATAACCAAGGATTGGGAGATGGGGAATGATCTTAATTCTGGTTTATGAAGGAAACTAGGGCTCTGTCTGTTGAATGTCAATTGTATTTATTAATCTTTTGTACTGTTAATCCCAAGAACTAATAGAAACCTGTAATTGTGGGCACTGATTTTAAAGACTGTTGACTGAAGCATTGGCTGAACAAGTTTAAAAAGCATTGATAAGGGAGAACTGTATCTCCTGGTATAGATATTTGTCACCTTGACCTCTTGTGACATGAATATTGTTAAGGGCAGTCCACAGGTCATAAGAAGTTCTGCTGAGTCTGTGACAAAACTATCTTCCCTAATACATATACACTCTGTACCTGCATAAGGATTTGAGTGTGCTCAAACCATGGCTGAATGGACTTTACAAACTTAAAAGATGATTCTAAACATCAGGGAAGAGAGATTCTAGAGGGATGCCCAGAGAAATCTACCTGGTTTTAAAACCACAAATGGTTTGTATCCTAGATCAAAATCAGGACTCAAAACCTCAGTCCTTTTTTACTTCTGAATCCCTGTACTGCCCTGTGCAGAACCCTCTAACTGCTTAAATCAAGAGAGTTTTGTGAGCTGAGAGTCATCCTGAGCTCCTTTTAGTTAATGCTAATCACAGATTCCTAGAATCCCAGGTTGGAAGGGACCTCAAGGATCACCTTGGTCCAACCTTTGTAGGCAGGGCATGGCCCAGCACCCTGTCTAGCTGAATTTTGGCTGTGTCCAACACTGGGAAGTCACCACTTCCCTGGGGAGATTATTCCACTGGCTGATTGTTCTCCTCTTGTGTCAGCTGGAATCTCCCCAGGTGTAACTTGTGCCCATCACCTGTTGTCTTTTCCATGGAACTCCCTCCCTGTAAGAAGGGAGTCTCCATGTTCTTCATGGCCACCCTTTAAATACTGGAACATGGTGATAAGGTCTCCCCTGAGCCTTCTTTTCTGTAAGCTGAACTCAGCTCTCAGCCTTTTTTTATGCTGAAAAAGCATGGTTTCTCAGTCCTTGGATCATCTCTGTGGCTCTTCTCTGGACCCTCTCCAGCCTGTTCACATCTCTTTTGTATAGCGGGGACAAAATAATCCCACTAATAAAGATACTGGAAGCCTGCAATCCAATTCTTTGACTTCGATATTCAAAATAGGTCAGGGGAGTTTTAGTCTGAAAGTGCCTTTTTGCCTATTGTCTGTAGATATCTAATTTTGAAGAACAGAAATTCGGTTCCTTTTTGCTATGCTAATGTCTATCCATTAGTGAACAGTCTCCTTTTACCTGTTTTTGGTGTTCTTTCTCCAGGTTTGAGCAATGAGAGCTGGTCGATTATGAAGAACATGGCAACAGAGCTTGGGATCATCTTGATCGGGTATTTCACCCTTGTCCCTGCCATCCAGGTGAGTGTGGTTGATTGGTCTCAGTTTGCATTGTTTTGTGGAGCTGTTGGAGTGAGCCCAGAGGAGGCCACAAAGATGCTCCGAGGGCTGGAGCACCTCTGCTATGGAGACAGGCCGAGAGAGCTGGGCTTGTTCAGCCTGGAGAAGAGAAGGCTCCGGGGAGACCTTAGAGCAGCTCCAGTGCCTAAAGGGGGCAGCAAGAAAGCTGGAGAGGGGCTTTGGACAAGGGCAGGTAGGGACAGGACAAGGAGGAATGGCTTTAAACTGACAGAGGGGAGATTTAGATGGGATCTGAGGCAGAAGTTCTTCCCTGTGAGGGTGGTGAGGCCCTGGCACAGGTTGCCCAGAGAAGCTGTGGCTGACCCATCCCTGGCAGTGTTCAAGGCCAGGTTGGACACAGGGGCTTGGAGCAACCTGGTCTGGTGGAAGGGCATGGCAGGGGGTTGGAACTGGATGAGCTTTGAATATGCCTTCTAACCCAAACCATTCCATGATTCTGTGACTGAGGCTTGAAGGTGCTGCAGGAACACACTGTGCCATATTCTGCTTCCCTCTCTGCCTGTTTGGATCAAGGGGTTGTTAGTGGGAAATCCATACATCTATACAATGTGGCTCCCCTTGGCTCTCTCTGGGAGCCAGACTTTTGTCCAGCAGCTGCCCTTGCATCCTTCCAGTAGCTGGGCTTACACATGCAGTTCATCAGTAGCTGGCCCTGGATCCTTCTCTCCATGGTTACCTTACACACACATGCGTGCACACATACACATGGGCACAACTGAGTCTCTCAGTTGCCCACAATCCCTCTGGCAGTTGGCCTGGAGCCCCTTGTTTGTCTGTTTTCCAACTCCTCCATCTCTGTAGCTCAGGAACACACACATTCCTGTCTCCCAAACCATTCCCTCTGCTCAGCAGCTGCTTGGCTCAACAGTCACTAGTGACCACACGCCAACACTCTGATATGCTCCAGTTGCTGGTGACCCAGACACATGAGCTGCACCTTGTAAGTGCATCCAGGTCTCCAGCCTGGCAGTGTGTTGCTTTCTCTGCTCCACAGCTCCCTTTTTAGGACTGTGCTTGCTGAGTTGTATCAGGAGCTGATGCCATTTGATTTCTGATCCTTGACCACACAGGGCTTGCTCCTGGTGGGCCATGTGAATGGCAGTGCTGCCTAGACAGATCCTCACCACTAATGCTATAGCACCTCTGCATCCAGACTCCAGGGAGCTGTCAGCCCATTCAGTCAGCAAGCAAAGGCAGGAGCACCCAGTGTCTTCATAAGCTGGAGGCTACTCTGTGCCCTCACTAGGTTGTCACTGGCCCCTATGTAGGTGGCCTTCATGAGAGGGGTGAGTTGTGTGTATCCTTGCTTTAACATCAGGGACTCACCAGTAGAGCCTGCAGGTTAAAGCCTAGGGTAATGTAAGAGGATTAAACATTCAGGTTGGACTGGAGCATTCCAAGTTGAACTTGGCAGTTCCCGAGCTGCTCTTTCAGTATCCCAAGAGGACAGCAAAAGAGGAACTTCAGTGGAAAACCCCAGGTTACAGCCGGCCATCTACTGTGGCCAGATTTTGTTTGTATTTGAAGCTGATTGCAGAGACTGCTCAGCTCAGACACTGACACGATCCATCCTTTGGGTCTAAATTGGGCTCATTCATGTGCTGTATCAGCATCTTTTGGCCTCTTGTTTCATGGCTGTGCTGCTTGACCTCAGAAAGTGAAACCTGACAGTGTCTGTGGAACGAGTGTAGTGCCAGCAGCCCTGCCATGGGGACACTGCTGGGACAGGTCACATCTCATGTTGCTCTCTGCTGTGGAGGAGCTTGTGTGGTGCACTGGTGACAGGAGATAGAGGAGTTGTGATCAAAGGGACAGGGCAGAGTCAGGTGGTGGGGTCAGTAGAACTACGGGAAGCAGTGATACAATGCCCCCACCCCCGTGTTATCTCTGTTAAAGTACTCTTGCCTATTACAGTGTTTTGACACGTGTGATGACATAGAATAGAGTCACAGGGTTTGGACTAAAGGGATCTTAAAGCTTACCCGGTTCCAACCCCCTACTATGGGCAGGGACACCTTCCACTTACAGCCCCATGCAACCTGGCCTTGAACACTGCCAGGGATGGGGCAACCACAGCTTCTCTGGGCAACCTGTGCCAGGGCCTCATCACCCTCACAGGGAAGAACTTCTTCCTAGTGTCTAATCTAAATCTACCCTTTGCTAATCCAGTCTCTGCTGTCCCCATGATCTTGTCTTTCCTTGGATGCTTGCTTTCTCCAGAGGACGAATCCAGCAGGGATGCTCTCTGTTAGAAGACTGACAGCTGCTCTGCTGAAGGCTGGTGCAAGCCCCTTATCTTGGTCCTTGAGAGTGAAGGACACTGTACAGATAACGTGCTGTAGTCACGTTGCAGAGTCCAAGGAAATCTGGCAGGAAGAGAGCCAGGCTGTGTAAATCCAGCAGGGACCTTTGCTCAGGCTATGAGGTGCTGGGGTCGTGCAGATGCTCTCTGGTATTGGGAATGACAAAAGAGGGAGGCGTTTCTCTGCTGAAGGCTCTCGCCTGCCCCAAGGGCTGTAATGGGTCTTATTTTAATCAGTTCCTGTAGTGCAACTCATGTAGCAGAAAGGAATTTTCTATGTTTGCCATGGCTGTCCTTGTCCTAAAATAGTTTGGCTTCAGGTGAGAATTGTGCATCCACTTAATGCATAGAATCACAGCATGGTCTGGGTTGGAAGAAACCTTAAAGCTCATCCAGTTCCAACCCCCTGCCAGGGGAAGGGACACCTTGCCTCATAACTGAGCAGCAATGAAATGCTCTTGCCTCGCATTGCATGTGTGCAGAGACCCACCTCTCTTTTCCTGGTACTGTGTTGCTGTTGAAGGCCCTCATCCTGTGCTTTCCATCTCTTATTTGCTACCTTCTTCTGAAGTTCACACACCAACAGCCAGTTCTGCACCCACTGAAGTAACTTTGGGGTTTGCCATAGGGTTTGCAGTATTCAAGTGTAAGAAGGTTGTAGATTTCCAGGGTAGCAGCTTCAGGTGCCTAATTCTGTGTTGAGTAAGTAGAATCATTAACAGAATTAATCTCTCTCCATGCAGAGCGTGCCACTGGGGGAGCCTGTGTTTGCCAAGGTCTGGGTGAAATCCAGATGGATGTTTCTTTCCTTCTGGTTTGCTCCCAGAGAGAAATCTGGGTTGAGTTTTCAGCCTTGTGCTTTCAAAACCCTGTGTCAGATGTATCTGTTGGTAGCTTGCGTTTCAAGAACCGTTTGGACAGGATGGGGAGGCTTCAAGGTTTGTTTGAAGGTTTTAGGTAGCCTGTCATGCCACCCTTTTCATTTCACTGGACTGATGTTGCCTTCCAGGAAGATGCTGGGATGGACATATGAAGGAAGAGAACAAAAATCAATCTCTGTGGCTTCTCTCCTTCCCCTTAGCTGGATGGAGCCTGGCTTGGTCTGCAGGCAGTGTGAATGCCACCCTTGGGGCACCAGTGAACAGCAGTGGGTGTCTGCCAGCTCTGTCCTGCAAGTGGGGGCCAGATTCTTTAGTCTTTTGTTTAGCCCAAGCATTTTTACTCCCGCTTATTGTTCAGCTCTTGATCTCCCTGTTTTTATGAGGTCTTTTTTGGGTCCTGACAGGAAGGTCCTATACCTTCAAGGGAAACAAGATGTTTCTCAAAATGCTTTAATTCTGAGTTGCTGTGAAGTGTTGAGTGTAGTGGGGAGAGGGGATGGCCCTTGGCACTAACAGGGATTAGGGTAAGAGCGTGGATTTGTTTTACAGAGGGACCTGGGAGCTGACTGCATTTCTGCTGCTGGGCAGAATCTTCTAATCCTTATTTTGGGAAGTGGGACAGTGCGAACCTCACGAAGTTCAACAAGGCCAAGTGCAAGGTCCTGCACCTGGATCAGGGCAATTCCAAGCACAAATACTGGCTGGGGAGACTGGGTTGAGAGCAGCTCTGAGGAGAAGGACTTGGGGGTGTTGGTTCATGAGAAACTCACCATGACTGCCAACATAAGAAGGACATGGAGCTGTTGGAGTGACTCCAGAGGAGGCCACAAAGATGCTCTGAGACAGGCTGAGAGAGCTGGGCTTGTTCAGCCTGGAGAAGAGAAGGCTCTGGGGAGACCTTAGAGCAGCTTCCAGTGCCTAAAGGGACCCACAAGAAAGCTGGAGAGGGGCTTCTGACAAGGGCAGGTAGGGACAGGACAAGGGGGAATGGCTTTGAACTGACAGAGATTTAAATTTAGATGAGATGTGAGGCAGAAGTTCTTCCCTGTGAGGGTGGTGAGGCCCTGGCACAGGTTGCCCAGAGTAGCTGTGGCTGCCCCATCCCTGGCAGTGTTCAAGGCCAGGTTGGACAGAGGGGCTTGGAGCAACCTGGTCTGGTGGAAGGTGTCCCTGCCCTTGGCAGGGGGTTGGAACTGGATGGGCTTTGAATGTCCCTTCCAACCCAAACCATTCCAGGATTGTCGGGTTCTGTCATTGTTTCTGCAGTGACACCTGCTGGGGAAAGCAGAGCATTACAGGAAATTCATGAAGCACCGGCTTTTTCCCATCTGCTTGTTATTTTGGAGAACTCCTGAGGGTGGGTATGGGACTGCTTTTCCAGGGGCGAAATTTGCCCATAAATAGACATTAGCCAAAAGCGTGATTTAAGCAGAACTGTTTTAGTTGGTGCCCTGGAGGATGACTACAAACGAGTACGCAGGGGTACAGTGACTTCTGTGCTCTGTCTATGGTCGGAGAGAGATTGATCCGGTTCCTGGGCAACCTGTGTTCCCAGAGGAATTTTAAATCAGGGCGGAGGTTTATTGATAAAAGGCAGGAAACTCAGTGCTGGAGGCCAAGAGCTCTGGCTGGAGCCCTGCCATGGGTTTGTGAACTGGGAAGGCATCCGCTGCTGGTTTTCCTTATGGTGCTGTGATGTTTTATGGCTGTGAAGAGCAATGAATGTGAGTCCGAGTAAATACACTCCTGAGTTTTCACACAGACTTTCCTAGCGTGAAACTCTCAGCTATTACAAGTTATGGATTATAGAATCTGTCAGTCAGATACGCCCAGGCCTGCACTCTGGGCAAGAGCTTGCCAAGTTTTCCTTTTTTCTGAAGTTGGAATACTAATTGTTGCCACCAGAGCTAATCTGTGTGTCCCGTCTGCAGGAATTCTGCCTCTTTGCTGTGGTTGGCCTCGTGTCGGACTTCTTTCTGCAGATGTTTTTCTTCACTACCGTGCTGTCCATTGACATTCGCCGTATGGAGGTAAGGAAGGGCCAAGAACATGGGGGTTTGCCTTGGGTTTTCCTTCTCTGCTGTTGGAGAGGGATAAAGGAAGCACAGCCTGTGATTTTTCACACTAAACAGAGAAGACCAAGCCATAATAGTTCTGGGGCAGTACTTGCTGGTTAGGTATGTACAGGGATTGGGGGCAGGACACCCGAGGGAACAAGATACCTTCAGGTAAATAAACAGTGCAGATTTGAGCTAAAAAAAAACAAGCGTGTCCTGGGTTACATCACCAGCAGTGTGACCAGCAGATTGAGGGAGGGGATTCTCCCCCTCTACCCTGCTCTTGTGAGACCCCCTGTGCAGTCCTGCACCCAGCTCTGAGGCTCCAATATAAGAAGGAGCTGGAGCTGTTGAAACAAAGCCAGAGGAGGCCACAAATATGCCCAAAGGGCTGGAGCACCTCTGCTCTGGAGACAGGCTGAGAGAGCTGGGCTCGTTCAGCCTGGGGAAGAGAGGGCTCCAGGGGGACCTCAGAGGGCAGGGATAGTACAAATGGGAAGCTGTGGCTGCCCCATCCCTGGCAGTGTTCGAGGCCAGGTTGGATGGGGCTTGGAGCAACCTGGTCTGATGGAAGGTGTCCCTGCCTGTGCAGGGGGTTGGAACTGGATGGGCTTTACGATCCTTTCCAACCCAGATCATTCTGTGATTTAGTGAAGTGGGCTGGAGGCAGACATGGTGGGCAGATGACCGTGGCTACTTGAAGAAGACATTATGTGCTGGGGAGAAGCTGGGACAGATTGTCCTGAGGGAGAAAGCAGGGACCCTGTGTCAGACATAGGCCTGTGCACACATTTCCCCCAAGGGATCTCCCTAGTGCAGCTCTCCCACGTTTGCTCTTCCCTCTGCAGCTCGCTGACCTGAACAAGCGGTTGCCAGCAGAAGCCTGCCTGCCCCCAGCGAAGCCTGTGAGCCGCTCTCAGCGCTACGAGCGGCAGCCGGCGATGCGGCCTGCCACCCCCCACACCATCACCCTGCAGCCCTCCTCCTTCAGGAACCTGCGCCTCCCAAAGAGGCTGCGTGTCATTTACTTCTTCGCCAGGACCCGGCTGGCCCAGAGGCTCATCATGGTGAGCAGGGTGGGGTTTGTTAGCTGGTGTCCCTTCCTGCACACTAATCCGAACCAAATAGGCTTTTAGGGGGGAAGAATAGACCAGTATCCTCATGCATCCTTGTTCCACTGCAAGACTTATACTGCCCTGTGGTAAACCCAATTCAAGAGGTGCACATTGCTGTGCATGCATCAGCTTCAGGGCTCTGCTGTTTGCATGATGGTAGTGGGTAATTTTCTGATACTTGCTTTGAGACAAAAATCTGCTTTTATACAAGCAGGTTTGTAAGGACCTTATGAGCAGAGAGGGAAGACTTCTCTAGAGCAGAAATCATGGTTTTAGTTCCTGCAGGTAATGTGGACTAAAGACATGGAGGTATTTTGCTATGTGACAGGCTGAGGCTTTTCCTTGTGCAGGTGTAACTGCAGTGGTTACACCAGTTACTGTCCCTGCTTGCCCCCTCCACCCCTGTTCTGAATGTCTATAATGGAAGTGGAAGAATTTGTGTACTCATCAGCTCCACAAGTCGGTCTAGTCTGTTACTGTCAGCTAACACATCAGTCTGTGAAAGCCAGGCTGCTGCAGTAGGTCTGGTGGAGTTCATGACCCAGAACCTGAATTAAGCCTTTCCAGCCCAATTTGAGGGTGGCAGAGGTGCTGGTCCCAGCCCCAGTGAGGAGTCTCCTCCCTGCTGTTCATTTATACAGGACAAGTGGGTTGCCATCAGGTTCAGTTGAATGGCTCACAGAAAAGTAATGCTCAGTTTTGTCTGTGCAACCTCTCCCAATCATAGAATCATAGAGTGGTTTGGGTTGGAAAGGACCTAAAGCTCATCCAGTTCCAACCCCCTGCCATGGGCAGGGATACCTCACACTAGATGATGTCACCCAAGGTTCTGTCCAACCTGGCCTTGACCATTGCTAGGGATGGAGCATTTACTGCTTCCCTGGGCAACCCATTCTAGTGCCTCACCACCCTCACAGTAAAGAGCTTCCTCCTTATATCTAACCTGAACGTCCCCTGTTTAAGTTTAAACGCATTACCCCTTGTGCAATCACTAATCCTCTTAGAGGGTAAGGGTCTGCTGAGAGTAAGACTCTTAAGGGCAGGGTGTACCCTGGGCTGGAATCAGCTGTTGATCAGCTCAGAGAACTGGTGAGGTGCCTGGAGGTGGAGCGTGAAGGCCATGAACTAATGGGCTTGTCTCTGCTCATCGTCTGTAGGCTGGGACGGTGATCTGGATTGGAATCCTGCTTTACACGGATCCTGCTGGTCTGCGCACCTACCTCACGTCACAGGTCACCGAACAAAGTCCTTTGGGTGAGGCAGGTCTGCCTCCAATGCCTGTTCCTGGAGGGGTCCTACCTGCTGGGGACCCCAAGATTGATCTCTCAGTCTTCCCATCGGACCCAATACAGCTGTTGGAAAACCAGACACAGCAGCGTGAGCAGAAGTCAGGGCTGGAGTCCCTGAGTAGGCTGGAGACAAACCAGCACACTTGGGCCCAAGGACCAGAGGGCAAAGGGAATGGACAGACGGAGCTTGGAGCTGAAGCAGAGGTTACCTGGGGAGCAGAGGATGAGGAGATTTGGAGGAAACTTTCCTTCAGACACTGGCCATCCCTCTTCAGCTACTACAACATCACTCTGGCCAAAAGGCAAGTGGGCTGGCATCGAGCGCCGCAGCACTTTGAATTGTGGACTTGACCCCAAGCCTTTTTCTTTCATCTGTCCTTTATCCTTCCGAGTTAGATAATTTGTGTTCCATGTGACTTACTCCAGAAGTGTAAAGGCCCTCCTGTGTGGGGCAGAGGGAGCAAACTCTCCAGAGCTGGCTGAGAATAAGGGTTGTGTTTCTCTCTGTGCCCTTGGGTGTATTGAAGATAAGAAGAGGTGGTATCTGTTCAGCCTGCCTGTTGTCTTCCTTTACCCTGGAGGTGACAGTTAGAATTCTGTAAAGCAATAGGTAGTCATCTGTGAATGATGGGGGTGATAAATGTGAGGAACAGAGACATCTGAGCAGAGGAAACTTCTTGGTGAGATCTTCTGACCCACAGGAAACTGGACCAGATGGCTGTATCCCTACTTCAGTCTGTGTGATACATTCGATATCATCAGTAGTTCATTGTACTGGTGGCTCTTAACCTCTCCCATGGAGTTAAGGGTTAAGACCTAGGAAATACCTTCAGAGAAAAAGATGTCAAAGGAGGTCTTCAGTTTAGAATACCTAAAACCACTGCTCTGAAAGTGCACGCTGAGACCTTGGCTGCTGGCGAGGGGATGATCTATGTTACCTATTACGATATTTGTGGGGTTTTGTGTTTGTTGTTCCTAAGCTGTTCTCATCTTTCTGTTCCCTCAGGTACATCAGCATCCTTCCAGCAATCCCTGTCACGCTGTATCTGAACCCACAAGAGGCCTTAGAAGTGCGGCATCCCCAGGAGGCAAACCGCTACCACCCCTTCTTGTCTTCAAGCAGTGGAAAGCTGGATGCTCAGGCTCAGCCTGACCAAGCCTCATCCAAGCTGCAAGGGCACCAGGATGTCACTCTTTACAAGTAAGTCATAGAATCGTAGAACCCCAGGTTGGAAGGGCCCTTAAAGCTCATCCAGTTCCATCCCCCTGCCAAGGGCAGGGACACCTTCCACTAGACCAGGTTGCTCCAAGCCCCATCCAACCTGGCCTTGAATACTGCCAGGGATGGGGCAGCCATAGCTCCTTGTGGTAACCTGTGCCAGGGCCTCACCACCCTCACAGGGAAGAACTTCTTCCCCAGATCTCATCTAAATTTCTCCTCTGTCAGTTTAAAGCCATTCCCCCTTGTCCTGTCCCTACCTGCCCCTGTCAGAAGTCCCTCTTATGTTGTTACCCAGAGCTGGATGCAGGACTGCAAGGGGACACCAGAGCAGACCAGAGGGGGAGAATCCCCTCCCTCGACCTGTTGGTCACACTGCTGGTGCTGGAGCCCAGGACACGGTTGGCTTCTGGGCTGCAAGCGCACACTGCCGGGTCATGGGGAGCTTCTCATGGACCAACACCCCCAGGTCCTTCTCCTCAGGGCTGCTCTCCTCAATCCAGTCTCCCCTAGCCTGTGTTTGTGCTATGATTGCTCTGACCCATGCGCAGGACCTTGCACTTGGCCTTGTAGAACTCCACGCCAGCCCAAGGACCTTCCTTTCCTACCGAGAGGATGGACTCACAGCTTGCTGTCCACATTGGCGATCCTGCTGTGTATTACCCCGATCCCCATCTTCTTAAAGCCTTATTGCTGTGGACTTCTTGAGAAATCTGCAATCTTGTGGAAATGGTCGTTTTGCCATTGCAAAACCTCTTCATTTTCCACAAATCACTATGGACCAGGAGCATGTGTGAGACTTTCATGGTAGTTTTCAAAGTCTCTCTGTGGAGTAGTAATTGGATCTTTTCTCTCGCCTTCTCTTTGTGTCCCTTTGTCTCTCCCACCAGGGTGGCTGCTCTGGGTCTGGCCTCGGGCATTATCCTGGTGCTCCTGCTCTTCTGCCTGTACAAGGTGTTCTGCCCCAAGAACTACGGGCAGAACGGGATCTCGCACAGCCGGAGGAAGAGGGGGGACCTGCCCTGTGACGATTACGGCTACTCCCCGCCCGAGACAGAGATCGTCCCCTTGGTGCTCAGGGGTCACCTCATGGTAGGTCCATGTAAGGACAGGAGTGGTCCTCACAGGAAAGGCATTTTACTGACTTGTGCCATGCATCCTCTCTTTTCTTGGGTTATTATCTAAACAACAGACCAGCTTTGCAGCCTTAGTGCAGCACAGCACTGGAGGCCGACACCCAGCCAGATGCTGCAGATGTATTGCAGGGTATTCTAGCATGAAGTTTCCTGCAGCACTTCTCCACTTCTTCCTGGGGCTTGGTCCGAGCCTTTTGCAATTGCTGTTACTGCCTTTTCTTTTGGCTCTCGTCAGCTGGGCTGATCCAGCCCTCTTCACTGGGCTAGCTCTAGTTTCCTGATACTTAATAGCCTATTGGATCCTTTCTTCCTGCTTCCCAGAAGTTAGTGTGTAGGTTTGAGCTGTTAAATACTGTTTCCATTGCTAAAAGCATCCATGGGCTTGCAGGGGAGCGTGCTGCTGCTCCGTTCACTGTGTTTTCTTGAGGGGAAAGATGTTCCTTTCTACTCAGAGATGAAACAAAGAATTCAGACATCTGGTCAGATAGAGTTTGAAATGCTGTATGGTGTTTTCCAGAGAAGCTGCACCTCTTTCCTGATTCTCCTGTCTCTTTGGGCTGTACTTTGTCAGGGAAAGGGGAGACAGACAGAATCTGTTTGATTTGCAGCAGTCTAGAGCACATCTAGATGCAGGGCGAAGATCTACTCATGTTCTCAGCATATCCTTAGGTTTGTCAGCCAGCCACGGAGTTTAGACATAATTTATCATCTGTATAATCCCTCAGCCACATGGAAGGTGGTTGTCGGGATCCAGAGGCCTCGCTGGTGCAATGGCTTCACCTGTGCTTGCTCTTCCTTCCCAGGACATCGAGTGTCTGGCGAGTGATGGGATGCTGCTCGTCAGCTGCTGCCTGGTGGGCCAGATCCGTGTGTGGGATGCTCAGACTGGTGACTGCCTCACTGTCATTCCCAAACTAAGGTGAGTGGGGCCACGCTGCTCAGCAGCTGATGCAAACCCCTGTGTGAGAACCAGCCCTCTCCAGCAGCAGAGGCAGGGGGGCTGGATGCGTAATACCGTGTTTCAGGTTGCGACGAGACAGCAGCGGCATCTTTGACTACCAGGAAAGCTGGGATCCCAGTCCCGATGGCAAGAATGGCCTGGACGACTCTTTTGAGAGCAGTCACCAGCTCAAAAGGATGCTCAGCCCTCCGCAGCCGCCGCTCTTCTGCGACCAGCCAGACCTCACGTCTCTCATTGACACCAACTTCTCGGAGCAGGTGAAGGTGGCCGAGTCCGAGACGCGGCTCCGCTCGGTGGGCAGTCGCCAGAAGGAGGCCGGGTACGACTTCAGCAGCCTGGTGGGTAAAGCCTATGAAGAGCACGGCTCCTCCAATTCCATGAGCTTCATGGGCCTCTCAGCCCCGCATGGACAGGCTGGGTTCTGCACGGGGAGCAGCAGAGCCCGCTCCATGGGCTGCGGGAGCGAGGAGGGAGGCTGCAGCGCCCGCAGGAGGAGCCTGGGGGACGAGTCTCTTACGGGGTTTGACAAAGCCTCACCGCTTCCTTCCTGGGGAGGAGACTTGGAGAGCTCTGTCTGGAGCCTGGACCTGCAAGGGAATCTGATCGTGGCCGGCCGGAGTAACGGGAAGCTGGAGGTGAGGAGCAAGGCTTGCTGCAGCAGTGATGCTAGAGAGCACTAAAGCTTGCCATGTCTGTAAGCGCTGTGGCTGGTCAGTCATGATGTAAGGTAAAATGAATAGGAATGCTGTAGGAATGATACAGGTTTTGAAGCAAATTTTGATCAGAAATTCAGATCTCCTCCAATGAGAAACTTCCTGAATTAGCTCGATCTTCGTTTCATTTTTGGAAATCAGGTTAGAGTTTTTCCTTCAGAATAAATGGTGAGTTTTGGGGTGTTTTATACAAATACATTTTGACATAAATCTGTCAATGATTTTTAACCTGGCTCTAGTGCTTCCCACCAGAGACACAGACAGGCCACTCTATTGTGTTTCTTTGTCCTCTTGAGCTCAGATACCTTCTCCCGAGCAGCTCCCTCAAGACTGACTGAATCTTGCTGCCGAATCTTGTCTCCAGCCCACATCACAAGATTGCATCATGCTCAGAACAGGGCAGACGTAGGATTCAGCAGGAGCAGGGAGGGGTGCTGTGGAGATGGGGATGAGGTGGCATGCAGCTGGAGCCTGTGCTGCCACAGGGCGTGTGTTTAGTAGCATCTTTGGTGACCCCGGTAAGAAAGGTGGGCAGGTTTTGAAGTGGAAGTAGCACTGGAAGGAAGAAGAGGATGGTGTGATCGTACATCCCTCCTGTTGGGGGAGCCCTGTGTTGTAATTACTAGTGCCAAGAGGGAGCTGGGTGCAGGCTCCTTCATTAAAATCAGACAGTTAAGGAAGCTGGGGGATGTGTGTGGCTGTTACGTGGATCACACATCCTTGATGTACGATGCTCTCCTGGAAGGGATTGCAGCAGTAACCCCTTCTCCTTCCAGGTCTGGGATGCTATCGAGGGCACCCTCCGCAGCAGTAATGATGAAGGTCAATCTGGCATCACAGCGCTCGTCTTCCTGAACAACAGGTAACTGTGGTGTGCTCAGTCATCTCCTGCAAGAGGAGAAAGCATGGTGTAAGGCAGGACCCTGGCTCTGAGCCTCCTGGCACAAGAGGTCCAACAGCTCCAGCTGGCAGAGGCTCAGCTGAGAAGTCAGAATCCCAGACTGGGTTGGGTTGGAAGGGACCTTAAAGCCCATCCAGTTCCAACCCCCTGCCACAGGCAGGGACACCTTCCACCAGACCAGGTTGCTCTGAGCCCCATCCAACCTGGCCTTGAACACTGACAGGGATGGGGCAGCCACAGCTTCTCTGGGCAACCTGTGCCAGGGCCTCACCACCCTCAGGGAAGAACTCCTTTCCTTTCCATGCACCAGCTTCTCAAGCTGGGCCTGATGGAGCACACATTCCTGGGTTCAGCTCTGTTCCAGCAGTCACTTCTCCATACAGATACTCAGTCTCTGTCACAGCTGAATGTGCAGAATAATTCAGGGCTGGGTGCTGAAACTTTGGGTCACTTGTTTCTGCGTGCTGTTAATCAAGAGGCAGTGCCACCTGCCAGTTCAGTCTGCAGTCCAAGCCTAATATCATTTCCAAGCCCTCTTCCTTGCAGTCAGGAAGGGAATCCTCACAGGGGAAGCCTGCATGGTTGGTGCTCTGCCTTGGTGTCTGGTGTCCAGGCTCCTGTCAGTGTCAGAGCAGGGAAGGGTCTCTCCTCACGTGCTTGCATTTCTCCCTCAGGATCGTCGCTGCCCGGTTGAATGGCTCGTTAGATTTCTTCTCGCTGGACACACACACATCCTTGAACCACCTGCAGTTCCGAGGTGAGCCAGTGCCCCAGCGTGCTGTGCACACCTGAGCTCCCCGAGGCTCTTCCTCTCCCCTTGCCTCCCGGTACCTGACTCTTCCTCACCTCACACCAACTTCAGCTTTCATAATAGCGCCCTGCTCCAGAACTCCCTGTGCTGCTGCAGGATGCTGAGCCAGATGCTGTGGAGAGCACAGGGATACTTTGGGAGTTCCCTATATAGGGAGGGTGCCTCAAATGGGGGTTTTCTCCAGTGCACAGCTCTGGAAGCTGAGACATGCGTTCCAGGGTCAGCTCTGACCCATAGCTCTTTCCTGTCCCATTCCTCACCTCTCCTTCAGCAAGGTGTATTTGCCTTATCGCCTTCACCTCCCACACCTTGTACACCATGTAGCCCCACACACATAACTTGGTGTAACCAGTTTGCAGTGTAGTGGCTGCTTTGGTTCTGGAGGAAGAGAAACCCTGGGAGAATGGCTGCATTCCTGGAGGGATGTCCTGGGCCCTGCAAGCTGTAGATATGGAAGTAGAGCAGGCTCTGCAGGAAAGGAGTGCCTGTGGAAATTACTTTTCCCTATGGAGTGTGGAGAGCCTTGTGCCCACCTCGATGTTCTGCCTATGAGCAGGGAATTGCAGAGCTCTTGGGCTTCAGAGACCTCAGTCTTCAGAGACTGATAGTGTAGGGGCTGCTGCTCTTCAGAGCTGAGTTCTGCTGCTGAGGACCCTGTTGGAGACCCCCCCTTCAGTGCTTCCTGAGCACTGGGCAGCTGTAGCTTCTGTTGGTGCCAGCCAGAGTGCCGAGTGTGTGGCTCCTTGGAGGAGAACCAGGTTTAAATGCCAGTCATAAAATCATAGAATAGACTCCTGGAATAGTTTGGGTTGGAAGGGACCTCAAAGCTCATCCAGTTCCAAGTCTGTGCCATGGGCATGGGCACCTTCCACTAGACCAGGGTGCTCAAAGCCGTGTCCAGCCTGGTTGCTCTTACTCCTGGAGCATAAGGCTGCACCTGCTGCAGTGAGGGCTTCCTGCGTGTCTCCCCACAGGAGCCCCAAGCAGGAGCAGCATCCCATCCTCACCGGTGTTCAGCAGCAGCGACATCATCCTCTGTCAGCTCACCCACACCGTGTCCTGTGCCCACCAGAAGCCAATCACGGCACTGAAGGCTGCGGCAGGGCGGCTGGTCACTGGGAGCCAGGACCACACTCTGAGGGTAAGGCTTTGCCCTGTAACGGAAGGGGTGCGCCTGCTTTTCCATCCCATTGCTACTGTGGGACATGAGCTCTTCTCCTGTGTGGGCAGGGCTGGAGCTGATGTGTGTGTGCAAGAGGTAGGTGAGCAGTTGGGGTGGGGTGGTTGGAGGCCAGTCTAGTGCATTCCTGAAGCTCCCATGTTGTATCCCTCTGCTTGGATACCCTTGGAGGGGATGGAACCCTGTGTGAGCTGCCTGCCCAAGCAGAGCAAGAGATTCTCTTGCTTTGGGGCTGGGTGCTGGGGTACCCCCTGTCTTCTCATCCCTTCCAGCAGCAGCTGTCCCCTTCAGCCGTTCATGTCACTTCCCAACAGGCATTGCCCCATTGCTCCCTGCCCCTTCCTCACTGTCCCAAATTGCTGACAGGCCCAAGCTCTCCTGAGAGAGGGGGACAGCAGTAAGGAGGGGATCAGATGCTTCATTAGCAGTGTAACTCTAGGACACGGCTGCCCTACGGACGCTTACCTCTGCCTCCTCCACCCTGCAGGTGTTTCGGCTGGAGGACTCGTGCTGTTTGTTCACCCTGCAGGGTCACTCGGGAGCCATCACAGCCGTGTACATGGACCAGGTAAGGTGCAGAGCAGCCTTCACATCTGGCTGCTGAGCCACTGCTTCAGTCAGAGGAATCCCTCTCCTGGTTTGCATCTGGGGAAGCTGATGTGTGCTTCTCCAAGGATGCAGAGGGGCTGCTGAGCACTGTGACTGTGTGCTCACCTTGTGACTTACAAGCCTGGAAAGGAGAAGGCTCCAGGGAGACCTTAGAGCAGCTTCCAATGCCTAAAAGACCACAAGAAAGCTGGAGAGGGGCTTTTGCAAGGGCAGGTGGGGACAGGACGAGGGGGAATGGCTTTAAACTGACAGAAGGGAGACTGAGATGAGATCTGAGGCAGAAGTTCTTCCCTGTGAGGGTGGTGAGGCCCTGGCACAGGTTGCCCAGAGAAGCTGTGACTGCCCCATCCCTGGCAGTGTTCAAGGCCAGGTTGGACGGGGCTTGGAGCAGCCTGGTCTAGTGGAAGGTGTCCCTGCCCGAGGCAGGGGGGTTGGAACTGGATGAACTTAAATGTCTCTCCAACCCAAACCGTTATGGGATTGATTCCCACACAGTTCACCTGTTGCCTGGACATGGTTTTGCCTCCCTCCCTGTTTGGAGCAGGAAAGCCCCTGTTTCCGCTGTACCCATGCTGGTGCTTAGCAAGTGCTTCTGTACAGAACTGGCCTGTGTGCTCAGCCCCTTCCCGTGTCTGTGGCACAGCGAAGGCCCTGGCTGTGCTGCAGAGGTCACTGCCCTCCTCCGAGCTTCCTGACCTGGCTCTGCTGTCCCCTTGCAGACGATGGTGCTGGCGAGCGGTGGCCAGGACGGTGCCATCTGCCTGTGGGACGTGCTGACAGGGAGCAAGGTCAGCCACATGTATGCCCACCGAGGGGACGTCACGTCCCTCACCTGCACCACGTCCTGCGTCATCAGCAGCGGCTTGGACGATGTCATCAGCATCTGGGACCGCAGCTCGGGAATCAAGCTCTATTCAATCCAGCAGGTTGGTGGCCAGGGAAAGGGTAACGGTGCTCCTGTGCTTGCATGGACACCCTGGAACCAGAACCCCTGGTGGCTCCACAGCCTCTTCCCAGTGATGGCATAGGCTGGGCACAGACTGCTGCCTGCCCTCATAGGAATTCCTGCCCTGTTGGATACCTGCAGCGGGCTCAGTGCACTGATGTGCTCTCATTCCATACAGGAGATGGGCTGTGGTGCCAGCCTGGGCGTCATCTCCGACAACCTGCTGGTGACGGGTGGCCAGGGCTGCGTCTCCTTCTGGGACATCGGCTACGGTGACCTGCTGCAGACTGTCTACCTGGGGAAGAGCAACGAGTCGCAGCCGGCGCGGCAGATCCTGGTGCTGGAGAACGCTGCCATCGTCTGCAACTTTGGGAGCGAGCTCAGCCTGGTCTATGTGCCCTCAGTACTGGAGAAACTGGACTGAGGAGGATGGGCCAGAGCCTGCCTGGAGGGGAGAGGTGGGCAGCTGAGGGGACAGGGACACCAGCTCCATCGCGCTGCCCCTGCCTCTGTTGCCGTCTCACCTTGTAAACTGCTCTCCCTCCCACCGAACGGCCTGCAGGGCCTCTTTGCCCCACTCCAGCATCTTCCATGTGGGCTCTGCAGATGAACAAGTCCTGGGGCCACAGAGGGGCTTGGGGATGCTCTGGCACCCTGCTCAGAATGGGGGTGAGGAGCAGTGAAGTGGCTCCACTGGTTTGGGGAGACTGAGCAACAGTGGCAGGTGCTGGGGAGCCTCAGTACCTGTTGCCTTGTGGTGGCTGTGCCGAGTTGGGTCCAGCTCCATCGCAGCAGGGTCCAGCTGTTCCCAGCCCTTCATGCAGTGGGGCGGGAGCAGGGCAGTGTTGCCAGCCAGCCCCACACGGAGAACAGCCTGGGCTAGTGGCGAGCCCCAGCAGCAGTGGGTCCTGGGTCCAACCTTGCCTGGGCACTTGGCTTGGCCTCCACGTGCCTTAGAGGCCCCAGCCTGCCCCTGCCCTATTTATTTATACGCTGTATATATTTATTTATTATGGCAGGAGAGTGCCGGCCCTCGCTCCACCCAGCCCCTTGGGGCACTCAGCCCTCCTCCTGGTGCCCTTCCTGGCTTCTCCTTCACCCAGTTTGCAGCAATAGCACCTTCCTCCTCCTCCTCCTCCCGCTGCGGGGCCAGAGGAGGCTTTTCTCAGGTTGGGAGCGGGCAGGCAGCCCTTTGCCCCCCTCCTGCCTGCAGGCCTGGGGGAGCGGGGCAGGCTGGCAGAGCCCTGGGGGACCCCTGCATCCCTCCATCACTGCAGGCCAGGAGCTCTGCGCCCCCCACAGCCGCACAACAGCAGAGCCAGGGCCGGGCCCTTCCCCTCCGCTCCCAGCCCTTGTGTCAATCAGCGCCGCTGACGTCCGTTAACCGAACCCCGGTGATTGTAGAGGCAGGGCCACGGGCCCCCGGGGAGCCCTTTGCCTCGGCTGCGGGTGGCCTTAGCCCGGCTGTACGCTTTGTTCTGTACAGGGGACGCTTTTTGTACCGGATCGTGTTTTGTAACGTGTACGAGGACACCTCCAGTAAACGGAACTAACCTGAGCGTGGCTGCGCCCCCTCCTCCCCGCGCCGTCAGCACTGCCAATCAAACTCGCTTTATTGTAGTAGCAAAGAGCTGAAAAAGTCAGTCTGAATTGAAGTCAAATAACGGGGCAAGGGCCAGTTACATCTGTACAGAGCTAAGGGGCTGGGGGGGGGCACAGGGCAGGACCCCACGCGCACACCCCTTGGAGCCTGTCCCAAAGTGGGGTCCCAACAGGGGGGTACTGGGGTCTGGGACCCCGCCGCCCCCTCAGGCCTTGTTGAGGGTCCAGAGAGGGTCGAGCATACTGAGGGGGTCATCGCTTGGCCGGGGTGCCCGCAGGCCCTCACCCGGCTGCGCCTGCAGGAAGTTCTGCTTGTTCATCCGCTGCTTGCCCTTGAGGGAGGCGTCCAGGGTGAAGGCCTCGGGCGTGAGGGAGGCCAGCAGCTCCAGCGAGGATGAGGAAGGGGGAGCAGCGGCAGGGGGGGCCACCACGGCCACTGGCACCCCCGCAGGGGGCTCAGCTGTGTGGTTGCTGCTCTTGGGGGCGCCGGGTGGCTCTTGGGGGGGTGGCTGTGGCGGGCAGGGCTCAGGGGCACCAACACCATCCATCGCGCCATCGGGAAGCACTGCCGGTGCCTCTGTGTCCACAGCATCGGCTGGGGGGGACGCCTCTGCCCCCCAGCCCGCCCCGGGCTCAGTGCTGGCCCCCCCTGGCCGTACGCTGAGCTTGGCAATGGTGGCCTGGATGGAGCTGATGGGCACATCCCCCCCCAGCACCAGGTCCTGGGAGTCCTGGGGGAAGTAGAGCTGGGGCAGGGGGGGAGGCTCTGTGAGTGTGGGAGCAGCAGAACCCCCTCCAACCCCCCCCACCCCCCTCCCCAGCATCCCATTCCCACTGCACCCACCTTGGGGGAAGTGTTGTTGGTGGCCTTGGGGACAGCAGGGGCACCCACCCCGTGGCGGAGCAGCACCTGCTCGGCGTGCAGCAGGACGGCCTCGTAGCAGAACTTGAGGTGCAGCTGCCAGGGAGGAGGGCAGGTGAGGCAGTGGCCCACGGCCCCCACCCCACAGCCCCACGACCCCACGGCCCCACTACCTTCTCCTGGAGCATGTGCTTGCGCTGCTGCCGCATCCTCTTGATGATCTGGGCTAGGTCGGGGATGCCGTTCCCCGCCTCCACCTCCTGCATGGCTGCGTACAGCAGGCAGAAGGCCCCCGTGCGGCCCACCCCGGAGCTGCAGAGACACCCCCGGCTGTGACAGACCCACGGAGGGGACACCCCCAAACCCCCCCCAGGAGCACCCCGAGCCCTGCTCACCTGCAGTGCACGACGACAGGGGTGTGGAGCGGGCGCTGGTGCAGGTAGTGGCCATGCACCTCCTGGATGAAGCGCAGGAGGCTCCCCTTGCTGTCAGGCAGGCCCCTGGGGACACACACACACACTGCTCTCACCCCCACCCGCCCGGGGGGGGCTCAGTGCCACCCTGAGGAGCAAATCAAGGGTCCCATGGGACTCCCCCACCCACAGCAGGACCCTTCCCCTCCAGTGCCATACAGCTCCGGCCAGGAGGTGAACTGGAGGTGGACCACAGTGCGCTTGAGGCTCTGGTCACGGTACTGCAGTGTCATCATCCTCTCCACGTGGGTGGGGGCGACCTTCAGGCTGGTGAGGACGAGGGTGATGGGTCCCTGCACCATGGGCTGGCCCCGCTCGGTGGGGTAGTACCGCAGCACCTTCTGCTGCAGGGAGGGAACGGGGTGGCCTCAGAAGCGGGCAGTGGCAGCACCACTTCCCCAGGGGACCCTCTTGCCCCTTCCTGTCACCTCCTGGCCGCCTCTAAGGACAAGGTGTACCTTATCCAGCTCCTGCTCTGACACCAGCATCACGACGATGGAGACCTTCTGCTCGTAGATCATCAGCCAGAAGTCTGCGGCGGTGCCCAGCAGCGGGGCCTGGGTGGCGATGACTGTGGGGCAGTAGGGCGAGAGGTCCTCCACCCGGCTGGCGTTGATGTAGTCATCCTTACCCGAGCGCAGGACAACGCGGTTCCGGTCGTAGGGCATGATGTCCTGGTGCCGGTTCTTCATGGAGTAGCAGCGGGCGATGGCGATGGAGAGCTGGCGGGCATCGCGTTCCTGCGCGTCCTGCAGCTCCTTCCACACAGCGTCCAGCTCGGTGCCGCTGCCGGCCCCCGGCTGCTCCAGCCGCTCCAGCAGCCCGCGGAAGCGCTCCAGCTCCGCCAGCAGCCGCAGCACTCGCTCCGGTTTCTCGTAGGGATCGTTCTCAATCAGCTGCACCGCTTTGGGCTTCTGCCCCTCTTTGGCATCCGCCTTGGTGGGCTGCAGCAGGGGCTGCCCCACGGCTGCCTTGGAGCCACCGTGCTGGCTCTCGGGGCTGGAGGACAGGAGGTCATCAGTGGAGGAGCTCTGCCGCTGGAATGGGGCCTCGCCAGGGCCCTGGGGGAGCGTGGGTGCCCCTGGCGTCAGTGCAGATGGGGGTCTCTGTGGCACCAGTGCTGGGGGCTGCATGGCCAAGGCTGGCTGCGGGGAAGGGGCTGGGGAGGGGACCAGGGTGCCCTGGACCACCACAGCACCTGGGCCCTGGCTGAGGCCAGGGCTGGGAGAGGGAGTGACATGGTGGGGGGCAGCCTGGCCAGGGGGGGTGGGTGCAGGGGGGCCCAGGGCCATGGTCCCAGGGGGCATCTGGCCACTGGGGGGGGCAGGGCTGGGGCAGAAGGGCAGCCCTGGGGCACCAGGGGGCACTGGCTGCAGCCCCCCCATTGCAGTGGGCAGGGGCTGCCTCGGCGGGCAGCTCTGGCTGGGGGCCCTGGGGAAGGCTTGGGCTCCAGCCTGCAGTGTGTCCTGCCCCGGGAGTGGATAAAGCTGGGGGGGCAGTGGGGGCCCCCCAGGGCCAGTAAAGGGCTGCTGGGCAAACTGGGCCTGTGGGGGCAGCGTGGGCCGGGGGGGCGGCTGGAAGGACAGTGGTACCGCGGCTCTCCCAGGGGGCAGAAAGGGGGCTGGGGGAAACTGCTGGGGGCCTTGGGCCCGAGCCGGCATCTCCACAGTGGGCTGGAGCTGTGCAGTGGGGGCAAAGGTGTGAGGGTGCTGCACAGGGGGGAAAGGGGGCTGCGCCGGCTGCCTGAAGGGCTGTGGGGCTCCCTGGGCATAGGGGTAGGGGGCAGGGGGGGCCCCCGGGGCCAGGAAGGGGCCTGGGGGCACGGCTGGGCCCTGGCTGGGAAGCCGTGGGACAGGGGGGCAGCTGGAGATGGGTGCCTGGATGCTGTCCACCGTGGTGGTGGCTGGCCGGGGACCTGTTGTCAGCTCAGGGCCACCCACCGGTGGCTGGGCACCCCTAGGTGCTGGCCCCGCTGTGGGTGGCCCAGGCACGGGCACCCCAGGCTGGCCCAGGGTGTAGGATGCTGCAGGGGCAGGAGCAGACCCGGGCAGGGGTCCGTGCTGGGGGGATGAGCGTGGGGGAAGCATGTGGGGCCCCATGTAGCCAGGCTGCACTGGGGCTCGCATCAGTGGCGCTGCTGGGAAGAGCTGGGGGGCTGCGGATGGGGCCGAGCTGGAGCCAGGGGGCAGCCCGGCTGCCTGCGGGGCAGTGGGCTGCAGGAGCTGCACCGGGGCTCCCGTGCCGGGGGGAAAGGGGCCTGGTGCCGAGGCAGGGGCTGCTGGCAAGGGATAGTGTCCTGGGAGGGCTGGGGACCCAGAGAAGCGGGCGAGGGGCTGCAGCGGGGCACTGGCAAGCCTGGCCCCTGGCAGGAAGGGCTCAGGGCCATGGGGCCGCAGCCCTGTGGTCAGGGCTGGGGTGAGGGCGGCCAGCGCGGGGGGCGGCAGGCGGGCCAGGTGCCCAGCTAGCACGTCAGGGGGCAGGCTGCGCAGCTCCTCGGGCAGGTCCGACAGCACCAATGAGCCCAGCGGCGGCAGGTCCACGGCGTCCAGTCCACCTGCATCCAGCTTCATCTGCAGGGCGGGTTTGGGGGCCGTGGGCCGGGGGGGCGGCTGCTTCTTCATCTCCCTGCCAGGAGGCAGCGGAGGGGGGCTCAGCGGGGTTCAGTGCAGCACCACAGGCCCACAGCACACCCACTGCAGAGGAGTGAACCGCTCCATCCCCGGCCCAGCTCACCCAGCAGCACCCAAAGGCGCTCCCTCCCTCCCGGGGTGTCGCACCCCGACACCAGCTTTACAGCCCACTTCAGCCCTACATGTGTCATGGCAACGGCCGCAGCACCACCTACCTCTCCAAGATCTGCTGCCGGTTGGCCTCAGCGGCTTGGCAGGCAGCACGGGCCTTCTCCAGCAGCTTGGCAGCTTTCCCCTCCAAGTCGGTGTAGAAGTCCTTCCCCTCCTGTGATTTCTTCATCAGATCCTCATAGGCTTCATAGGAGGCCACCAGGGTCTGAACAGTGGTGTTCCATCTGCGGAGACACAGCACAGAGCATGAGCAGGGGTGCAGCACCAGGCCAATGCTGGGGGACCCCCCAGCACACCGCTGGGAGGAGCTGGCAGTGAGCCTGTAGCTCTCCTCAGGGTGGGCAGAGGCTGCTCCCCTGCACCAAGACCCCACCATGGCACTGAGACCCCTGCACACCACTCACTTGTGCTCCACCTCAGCCAGGGCCTTGCGCACGGCCGCGTATTTGACATTGGCGTCCGTGAGGGCCTTCAGGATGTTCTCCTGGGCAGCCAGGTTCTGCTCCAGGTACACCTTGATCTGGTCGTACTTCTTCAGCTGCTCCTCAAAGAGTTTCTGCCGAGAGAGAGGG